GTAGTCTCTGTCTGGTTGCTTGTCTAAAATCGCCTGGAACTCCACCTGAATTTCGGGAAGGATCAGTCAACTAGGTTTTTTTGGAAAATAGATTTACTTCAGGGTCTAATAGAAAAATAAAACAATATTTCGGTGATTTTTTGACCATTTGTGAAGCCAAAAGAATCAAACCTTCTAAAACACGACAAACGGCGTCTGCAAAAAGTATGTTTCAAAACCTCTTCCGAAGCGCTTAGGTCTCACTTTATTAATGGGACGCATTTTCAAAAAACGTCCCACCCCCCCCCCCCTTCCTTCCCCCTCCCCCTTTTTATATTCCAATTAAAATTTCCAATTTTCCCTAATTCCCTATAATCTTTTTTTTTTTTTTTTTTTTTTTTTTTTTTTTTTTAATTTTTTTTTTTTTTTTTTTTTTTTTTTTTTTTTTTTTTTTTTTTTTTTTTTTTTTTTTTTTTTTTTTATTTTTTTAAATAATTTATTAAAAAATGTTGTTTGTGGAATTTTAAAATTTTTTTTTTTAATTTTAAATTTTAATTTTCCAAACATCAATTACCCCATTTTTTTTTTGTTTTTTTTTTAAAAAATAATTTTAGGGATTAAATTTCTTTTGAAATAACACGTAAAAAACGCAACGATCGCTTAATCGTTATCCATTGCGTAATCGATTACGACAGCGGTTAATGGCAACCAAGCCACGCGTGTGCGTTGCGTGTCGCGGTTGCGCGTCATAACCTAAAGACAAAAACAGCGATAAGAAAATATATAGCAGGCCTTGACCATGCCATTCAAAGAACGTAGTGTAGCTGCGGGGCGGTGCAAAAATATGTTGCAAACCTATGCCTTATCTGAACAGACTGGCCGCCATTAATTCGCCCCATCAATTAGTGGTAAAATCACAGATCAGGGTCAGTAAATGAGAATTTTGTAAAAAACTTAGATCAACTGACAAAACAAAACTAAAAGACTTCAAATGCTTTTCCAGTGTTATTTTTTAACCCATCGTTAGTACAAAAACAACGGAAAACGAGACTCTCGGCTCTGCGAATAATATGTGTTTCGCAAAATACTTAGGAGGCCTTCGCGAGAATATTCCTAATCATTGTAGATACCCGTTGCATCAATTGATGTCCATTCAGAAACGCAATAAAGAAAATGAAGAAACCTAGGCAACCAAAATAATCCCAATTTTACCACGCCCAAACCCTAGCGAGGATTATTTGGGAAATTTCACAGCTGAAATACGATACAAAAAAGAATTCGAAGACATCAAAAACGGAAAATTATCAAAAGTAAAAATTGCAGCGACGGCGTGGAATCCTGAAACATTTTCTTTGGTTTAACAATGAATAAGCTATGTTTCAAAAAAATTTCCGTTGAGTTTGAGGACCACATCATCAATCGAATGTTCTAGTCAAATTTTCAAAGCCCATTTTCGACCCGATTTTTCTAGGTTTTTTTGAAGACATCGGTAGGCTAGCAGGGACTCCTTGAGGAATTCGAGGGGCAGACTTGCAGGAATTTTTTGAAAAAGATTTTTAGCCCAATTTTACAACTTTTTTTCAGGGTCGGCCCCATCGACGTCAGCTTCAGCGCCACTCGGTCCACTTGATCTATCTAATAAATTTTTTAGTACATTTTTAAGCATATGTTTATGCCTATTAATGCACAAAAATATTGAAAAACGGCAATAAAATACAGCAAAAATTTATTCACGCGGAGACGAGCACAAAAAATACATCGAAAGGTGAGGGCAAAACGAGAGAATACAAAAAATACAAAAAACTATACAAAAAAAATGTGGCCCGTTCGTCATAAGTATCGGCAAAATTGTAGTCACTCGTTCCGTGCGAGTTGGCGAGGTGTCGCGCTCCCTTTAAAATCCGGCTACTCGTCGACGGTGAGGGAGGGCGAGATGACGGTGGGGATGGACCAGGTGGTACGGCTGCGACGGGGGCAGTACAGGGCTTCTTCCTGGAAAAAGCGAGGTGGCAGGCTAGCAGAGATCATTTGGGATGAGAGAGAGGGGGGGGCAGGCTAGCAGAGATTCTTTAGGAAAACTCACGGTCGCCCCCAGCTCGTGGTGCATCGGCTCGACGTTCACGAATTCGGGGGCGAAGGCTGAAAGGAGCATCAGGTCCTGTCACTCTCCCTTTAAAGCCCCCTACCTGGCTCGTCGAGATTCTGCGGGTCGACGCTCCTCCTACAGCACATCGAGTAGCAGATACACGTACACACGCAGCAGAACAACGCTGCCACACCCCACACCATCCACAGCCACGGGATCTCGTACCTAAGCCAAGCCTAAGCCAAGCCTAAGCCAAGCCTAAGCCAAGCCTAAGCCAAGCCTAAGCCAAGTCTAAGCCAAGCCTAAGCCAAGCCTAAGCCAAGCCTAAGCCAAGCCTAAGCCAAGCCTAAGCCAAGCCTAAGCCAAGCCTAAGCCAAGCCTAAGCCAAGCCTAAGCCAAGCCTAAGCTAAGCCTAAGTCAAGCTCACCACTCTCGATTGTCCTCCTTCGCCTTCTTCAGCTTCGTAGGTGGCTGCTTGGCGGGCTTCTGTTCCGATGGCTTGGCCGTCGTGCTCGAGGAGGCCGAGGTGGCATTCGGTGGCGGCGACGACTCGGAGGAGTTCACCGGCAGTGGCGGATCGGGAGAGGATTCCTAGCAGAAAGGATTTAGGATTGTGAGGGGGAGGGGCAGGCTGGCCGAGATCATTTACCGTTGTCTCGGTTGTACTTGTCGAAGTCGTGAAGCAGTCGTTGATGCACTCGTCGAAGTTGTAGTCGTAGTGGTCGTCGATGTAGTCGTGGGAGGGTACTGTAACCATTTTAAAGGGAGTGTGACAGTGCCATACTGAACAGCTACCTGATGTTGCTGCAAATTCTTGTGCTCCGGGTACACGGCGAAGTATTCGGGCCAGAAACTCTCTTCTAAGACAATTTTTAGAAGGTTTCAGGTGATCTGCTACTGACCGGCCTGAACCACTTCGTACCGCGGAGGGGCCTCGGATTTTTCGGTCAGCACTGAAAAAGGTAATGTGGTCGGCCGACAGGCTAGCAGAGATCATTTGGGATGGGAGAGAGGGGGGGGGCAGGCTAGCAGAGATCATTTGGGATGGGAGAGAGGGGGAGGGGCAGGCTAGCAGAGATCATTTGGGATGGGAGAGAGGGGGGAGGGGCAGGCTAGCAGAGATCATTTGGGATGGGAGAGAGGGGGGGGGGCAGGCTAGCAGAGATCATTTGGGATAAGAGAGAGGGGGAGGGGCAGGCTAGCAGAGATCATTTGGGATGAGAGAGGGGGAGGGGGCAGGCTAGCAGAGATCATTTGGGATGAGAGGGGGGAGGGGCAGGCTAGCAGAGATCATTTGGGATGAGAGAGAGGGGGAGGGCAGGCTAGCAGAGATCATTTGGGATAAGAGAGAGGGGAGGGCAGGCTAGCAGAGATCATTTGGGATGAGAGAGAGGGGGGGAGGGCAGGCTAGCAGAGATCATTTGGGATGAGAGAGAGGGGGGAGGGCAGGCTAGCAGAGATCATTTGGGATAAGAGAGAGGGGGAGGGGCAGGCTAGCAGAGATCATTTGGGATCAGAGAGAGGAGGGGGCAGTCTTGCGAGATCATTTGGGATTAGAGAGAGGGGAGGGGCAGGCTAGCAGAGATCATTTGGGATGAGAGAGAGGGAGGGGCAGGCTAGCAGAGATCATTTGGGATGAGAGAGAGGGGGAGGGGGCAGGCTAGCAGAGATCATTTGGGATAAGAGAGAGGGGGGGGCAGGCTAGCAGAGATTTGGGAACGGTCAAAACCCACAGCAATAATCGCCAAGTCGCTGGGTGTTGAGAAGACATTTGAGACATGGTACGGCAGTCATATTGTGGCTGTAGACGCAGTAGACGCAGAATACTGACATTCCAAGTGGAGCCATCGGACCCCATCCCTAAAGAACAAAAGTAGGTCTTAAAGGTACTGGTGTGTTAGCGGGGGGAATTACGTAATCAGGCCTAGACTTGGCTTAGGCTTGGCTTAGGCTTGGCTTAGGCTTGGCTTAGGCTTGGCTTAGGCTTGGCATAGGCTTGGCAAGGCAGGCTTAGGCTTAGGGTTGGCATTTGAGGAAACCGGTTTCCGATCTCTTGGATTTGAATCAATGTTTGGATTGACCGGATTGTATTGAAATCGATTTTTCAATTGCATCCGATCGATCGATTCTGCATAAAAACCGATTTGAATAGGATCCGATTTGATCGGTTCTCCGAAAAACCGGTTTTGATTCGAAACCGATCGATCGGTTTCGGAAAAAATCGGATTCAGGCGAGAAACCGAGCGGAAATGAACCGATTTATGCAGAATTTGGGATGCAAATCATTTTCTTGGAGCTTGGCAGGCAGTGGTCCTACGATTTTTTTGAAACTAAGCCGTTCTTAGCCTCCAAAAAATGGATATATTCCTTCCAGACATGATGGCTCTGGAGGTTACGAGCTGACCCCCAATTTCAGCACAAAAAAATGAGGAATATCGTGATTTGCATCCCAAATTCTGCACAAATCGGTTCATTTCCGCTCGGTTTCTCGCCTGGAATCCGATTTTTCCGAAACCGATCGATCGGTTTCGAATCAAAACCGGTTTTTCGAGGACCGATCAAATCGGATCCTATTCAAATCGGTTTTTATGCAGAATCGATCGATCGGATGCAGTTGAAAAATCGATTTCAATCAATCCGGTCAATCAAACATTGATTCAAATCAAGAGATCGGAAACCGGTTTCCTCAAATGCCAACCCTACTTAGGCTTGGCTTAGGCGGCAGGCTTGGCTGAGCGGCGGGCTTAGGCTTGGCTTGGCTTGGAAGGCTTGGCTTAGGCTTGGCTTAGGCTGCGGCAGGCTTGGCTTAGGCTTGGCCTGGAAGCGGCTTGAGGCTTGGCTTAGGCTTGGCTTAGGCTTGGCTTAGGCTTGGTTTAGGCTTGGCTTAGGCTTGGCGAAAAACCGACCGGAGCCGGACTCGGCACCAATCCCTGCTCCTCCCTCTCCGCCACCAATTTCCGTCTCTTCACACGTGCATTGCCCGGGTGCCCATCGGTCGGAGCGTTCTCCAGAAATTTGCAAACTAAAGCTCCTCAAAGATATCTGCTGGCCTGACCTACTGTAGCACGTCTCATCCCGCTGCAAAACGATCACATCCGCCCACACAGGTCGAATATTGGGCCACCGGTACTCCCAACGAGAAGAAAACGCCATCTGGCAGGTGACTGAAATGGCAAATGGTCTCTGCTAGCCTGCCCTTGAACACCTTGAAACCTACTGTAAGTCCTGTTGATTCCGTCCACAGGCATTTGCCCGTAGACGGGGATCAACAAGAAGAAGAAGAACACCAGCAGCCAGGCAAGCCGCATTTTGGCTGGAAAATGGGGATTTGGAGAAAATTTTTCTTGATTCAGAATTAGGATGCTAATTAGACTAACTAGGGCAGGCTAGCAGAGATTCTTTGAGAAATGGACGGGGCAGGCTAGCAAAGATTCTTTGAGGAATGGACGGGGCAGGCTAGCAAAGATTCTTTGAGGAATGGACGGGGCAGGCTAGCATTGATTCTTTCAGGAATGGAGTGGCTGGCTAGCAGAGATTCTTTGAGGAATGGAGGTATTAGCAAACATGTGTTACGCCTCTTACATGTGCTAAGCATAGCGCTTTAGATGTTTATTAGTCTTCTAGCACAGATCTTACTTGTGCTGGGAGTCCAAAGTGAGGAGAGCGGGCGAGCGGATCCCTCGCTAGATACGACACAAGATAAATGAGTGTCAGGTGGCGCACGCATAGAAATCCCTTGCTAAAACAGCGGGAGCTAACATCCCCCTTTCCGGGAAGATGTCGTCCCGACATCTCAGTAAAGGCAATAGATGGAAAATCACAATTGCATCACAATGGACTTGAAAACAGCGCTTATTTGACATCCACAACTGTCAGATAACATTCGGATCCTAGGATATGGTGAAATTCAGTAGAGCCCAGGGTTGGTCACGCTGGATCCTACTCGGATCCGGTCCGGTCCGGTCCGGTCCGAAATTTCCATCCGGACCGAGGGGTCTTGATTTGCTAGGAGAAACGGAAATGCAACATGCAAATTCGGAATGCAAAAGAGCGGCGTACCAAAAAATGACGCAATGTGGAATTCGCTTAATCAAAATGTATAAAATTATTCATTTCCCATTAATTTTTGGCTATACACGCGACGGTAGTAGCATAGATGTGGAAAAATATGCCAAATTCTTCGAGAGTAGTATTTTGCATACAAAATTTTCCCTATCTGGCTCATGAAACATGTCCTTTTGTGTTCAGACCGGTCCGGTCCGAAATTCTCGGGTCCACTCGGATCGAAATTCCGCTAGGCGCGAAAATCTCTAGCTTACAGGGGGTGCGAAAAGGGGTTGATTTCCTACCAAACGGGGGCCCTAAAGACTTGTTGGAGGACGCGCTTTTCTAATGACCTACGCAGGGCGGTAACAATCAGTGAAACCTGTGAGCTGGCGGTGTGGCGGGAGATCAGCTGGATCGCATTCTTTTTCTAATTTCCAAGCACGGAAGATGGTAGGCGGCGTCGGTTTATAGCTTGAATAAGACGAAAAAATGAATAGGTTGAGTATGGTTGTAGGATTGGGGTTCCGAATAATTAGTTGACGATCCTAGGATCGGCCATAGTTAAACGCGGGGACGCTTACTGAGGGGCAGGCTAGCAGGGATCCTTTGAGGAATGGACGGGCAGGCCAGCAGAGATTCTTTGAGGACCAGATTTGATTTTTACGATTAGCATACCAAGTATGCGTCCAAAAGTGCCAAAAAAGACATTTTTAATTTCATTTGCTGCCCGGCCCCTTATTACGCCATGGTAACCAGTGACCAAACCGCCAGCAAGGTCAAAGAAGACCTGCACACCGTAAGGTTTTTCCTCAAAGAATCCAGCTAGTCCGCCTCTCAATTCCTCAAAGAATCTCTGCTAGCTTGCCTTTCAGTTCCAAGTGCTCGCCATGCTGGCCGGCTTCACGCTGATGTGCGCGTGGATTGCGTGGAATGTCGTCTCGGTGGTGCGCGCGAGGAACAGCATCCCGCTCGAGCTGCGGCAGCAGTACATCGCCAACAAGCTGGGTAGGTCATTTCAGAGGGACTAGAACCCTTCCCGAATGATCTCTGCTAGCCTGCCCCCTCCCCTCTCTCTCATCCCAAATGATCTCTGCTAGCCTTCCCCCTCCCCCTCTCTCATCCCAAATGATCGCTGCTAGCCTGCCCCTCCCCCTCTCTCTCATCCCAAATGATCTCTGCTAGCCTGCCCCCTCCCCCTCTCTCTCATCCCAAATGATCTCTGCTAGCCTACCCCCTCCCCCTCTCTCTCATCCCAAATGATCTCTGCTAGCCTGCCCTCTCCCCCTCTCTCTCATCCCAAATGATCTCTGCTAGCCTGCCCCCTCCCCTCTCTCTCATCCCAAATGATCTCTTGCTAGCCTGCCCCTCCCCTCTCTCTCATCCCAAATGATCTCAGCTAGCCTGCCCCCTCCCCTCTCTCTCATCCCAAATGATCTCTGCTAGCCCTGCCCCCTCCCCTCTCTCTCATCCCAAATGATCTCTGCTAGCCTGCCCTCTCCCCCTCTCTCTCATCCCAAATGATCTCTGCCAGCCTGCCCCCTCCCCTCTCTCTCATACCAAATGATCTCTGCTAGCCTGCCCCCTCCCCCTCTCTCTCATCCCAAATGATCTCTGATAGGCTGCCCCCTCCCCCTCTCTCATCCCAAATGATCTCTGCCAGCCTGCCCCCTCCCCTCTCTCTCATCCCAAATGATCTCTGCTAGCCTGCCCCCTCCCCTCTCTCATCCCAAATGATCTCTGATAGCCTGCCCCTCCCCCTCTCTCTCATCCCAAATGATCTCTGCCAGCCTGCCCCCTCCCCCTCTCTCTCATCCCAAATGATCTATGCTAGTCCTCCACCACCTAATTTCAGCCGAAATGGAGATGATGTACGCGTGTATGGGGGACGAGGATGATTCTGTGCGGAAGGATGAGGTGGACCCTGAAGGCATCGACGTCCAGACCTGAAGCTACCATCTACAGCTCCACCTTAAGCCCATCAAAGTCTGCAATGTGCATTTTTGGATTGTGATTTCGATGTTTTGCCGAATAAAAGTGGATTTTGCATGCGAGAGAGGGAGAGAGAGAGATAGAGAGGGGCAGATAGAGAGCGAGACAACGAGAGAATGAGAGAGAGAGAGCGAGAGAAGAGAGCAAGAGCGAAAGAGAGAACGAGAGAGGGAGAGCGAAAGAGCGAGAAAGCGGTAGAGAGAGCGTTCGAGAGAGGGCGAGAGAGAGCGAGAGAGAGCGAGAGAGTGAGCGAGAGCGGGAGAGCGGGAGAGAGCGAGAGAGTGAAAGAGAGCGAGAAGCGAGAGAGAGCGAGAGAGAGAGACCGTGTTTTTTATGGCGACACCCCTCAAATATCGCGCCAATCAGCATGCGGCGAAAATAGAATGAACCGGGCCCCTGAATATCACGGAATTAGCGTGGGCTTCCGGTGCTCTCGCGTGCCCTCGCATGTCGAGTTTTCCCCCCAAAGACACGCCAGATAGTAGCCAGTACCATGTGGGCTCGCTGGCTTCTACTGCTCGCCTGCTGGACCCCGATTCACGCGACAAATACCGTATCCCGGAACGTCGAAGGAAGCATGGGGTAAGTTTTTGGTTAGAGTTCGGTTTGACCCCCAGCCGGCACCCACCTACCGTACTGGGGGAGTAAACTGCACCTAAAAATTTCCAGGTACCACAAACCCTATCTTTTTTCCAGTGGATTGCGAGATGAAACCGGCGCGGTCGTCGCTAACGTGGTTTGTGCTATACAGTTTGGCAAGACTGCAGAGATACCCACGCATTAATAAGGCTTATGGCTGAGGGGCTGGGCGGGGGGGGTAAACTCTACCGTAGCCACACCCTATACTTTTGTTCTAGGCCCGACGGAATGCAAACGGTGTGGACGCCGGCGGTGATGTTCCACTTCAAATCCGAGAAACGAGAAACATGCATCGGTGGGCACTTGGCTTAAAGCGCACGTTCAGGGAGGGGCCGTGTACTCGTCCCAACGTGTCCACCCTATGGACGTGGGGACCGCGCGCACTGTCTGCCCGTGCTGTGACAGGCCATTTCCCTCCTTTGCGGCGTGGGGCGCCCCTCGCCCCCTCGCCAGGTTGTAGCTGTGGCTGAGTGGTATCCATCCGCGCCTCCCGAGCGGGGGGCCCGGGTTCGAGCCCCGGCCGCGGCAGAAATCTTTGCTTTTTCCAAAAAAACGTCCCTGAACGTGCCCTTTAAAGGGATCCCCCAGCCGGCACCCATCCACCGTATCTCGGCTCCCTGTTCATCTACAGGTGCGTAAGGTATACCAAAATACTCGCCAGAGCAAGACGAACATTTTGGCATACTTTACACATCTGGAGATGAACAGGCAGCCGAGATACAAGGGGCCAGCTGGAGGGGATGGGTTATCTGGAGTCTTACCAGTTTTTACCTCCTCTATAATTTTAGTGTGCAAGTGCCACAAGATTTGGCCAACCGACATTCATCCAATCCACGGCTGGGCATGGGTAGGTGGTACAAAAAGAGAAGTCTAGGAGGACTCGAAATTTCCAGGACGGCAAGCCGGAGGACTGGGAGGCCCGCATTGGCAAGTGGTGCGTTTTTCGCGTGGACGCCGAGGCGAATACGGCCTACCCGCTGCTGAAGTGCATGTAAAATGTGACACGGCAAGGGGATTACTGCAGTGAGTTTTTTGTATTTTGCCGCCGTTTCTTGTGTCTCTTAAACCGGCTAAAGTCTAGTTTAGCCCCCCCCCGCCAGCCGTAACTTTTCAGCCATACGTCCTATTCCCCGTGGTCGAATTACTATAAAAAAGTTGTTTCCTTACATCTAAAATTGTTAAAAAATTTTTTATAACAATTATAAGTCTGGGTTTCCTTTAGTTAATTTTTGCTCGTCCAAAGTGAGTTTTCGTATCTCGGCTATCTTTTGACGTACAGAGCTGTCAATGGTACCAAAATGCAGCTCTTGCTCTGGAAAATCAGCCTACAGTGCGTTTAAGTCGAAAAAAGTAGCGGAAAACAAAAATATATGAGTTTTTGGCTCTTGGTTGCATTGAAACTTAGCGGCTTAATCGTTATCAGCTTTCGAAATCTTCATAAAAATTTTCTAACGATTTTGCCGTCAGGAAACAACTTTTTTTTATAGTAATTCGACCACGGCGAACATTTGGATATATTCACGCATTAATAGGACTTACCGCCCGGAAAAGTTTGGGCTGAGGGGGTAAACTAGAGTCTTACCAGGCTAAACTCCAGATAACCCACCCAGCCGACCCCCACCTACCGTATCTCGGCTCGCTGTTCATCTACAGGTGTGTAAAGTATACCAAAATACTCGCCAGAGAAAGACGAACACTTTGGTATGACTTTACACATCTGTAGATGAACAGGAATTTCCGAGATACGGTAGACAGATAAGCTAGAAATTAAACTTGAGTCTAACAAAGCACCCCCTTTCCAGCATTGAGCGAATGGTCCCGTCCAGATCGACGAAGAAACTGAACCCGGTGAGTGCGGGGACGGGTAGACCAGTACAGGCTTTTTTAAATTCTAGCGCCACCAAGATTGGGTTGTTCGCTAGCGCCAGGTTTTGACGCTGATGTCAGCATGTTTTAGATGCCGATGTTTGGCGCCAGTACTACAGCTTATATCCGGAAAACGTGAACCTCACGGAGCACGTGGTAGCTGAGAAATTTATTAGTGAAATATCGGTGCTTTAGGAGCCGCGGGGGCGGGGGCATTTCCCGGGGAGGGGGACCAATTTTTACTTTTGCAAAACATTTTTATGACTTTTTTTTTGAAAGTTTTGCTGTTTTAAATAGTGGTTAAACGTGACTAAAAAACAATGTGAAGCATTTTCTATTTGATTGCTAGGTCAACCGTGAGCGGCAGGAAAAAATTGATCCCCCCCCCGGAATACCGCCCCCGCGAATTTTAAAGGACCGAAATACCATTTACAGTACCCTCCCTGGTTCTCTCCCACAAAATTCACCAACGCCACCGTGCAGCCTGATGATATGTGGGTGACCAATTAAAGCACTGGATGACTCAAAATAAGCGGTTCTTGACTGTTATCGGGGGGCTCAAGGGGGACGCGTGCAACTTCCTGGGGCTTCCAACCGTCGTAGCTCAGCTCGATGATGTGCTACTGGGCCGTGAAGTATACCAAAATACTCCCCAGCCCCGGGCGCACATTTTGGTATACTTGACACCCCTGTAGCACGACGGGAAGTTGGGCCTATGGTTCGGGCCGCGACACGCGACGCGTCGAACTTCCTGGGGATTCCAGCTGTTGTAGCTCAGCTCGATGATGTGCTACAGGGCCGTGAAGTATACCAAAATACTCCACAGGCCAAGACGCATATTTTGGTATACTGTATAGCTTTTTAACACCACGGGGAGCTGAGATACAAACCTTTCGGGATCGGCCGGGGGACCAACCCGCGCGATTTTGGATTTTTCCAATTTTTCTTTACCAAATTTTTCCCTTTGATTTTTTACGGCCCCCAAAACGCAAATCATTTTTAGAGCATTTCGCTTCGCTTTTCAGACCCTTCGAGACATACTATTATACCGGGATGATCATCGCCATTCCGTGACCATCTTCATCACCGTCCTTGCCTGCGTGTACTTCAGAATTGCGAAAAGGGCCGAGACCTTGAGGGTTCTGGTGGGGTTTAACTCATGAGAGAGAGAGAGAGAGAGAGAGAGTAGAGAGAGAGAGGGAGGAGAGAGAGGGAGAGAGAGAGAGAGAGAGAGAGAGAGAGAGAGAGAGAGAGAGAGAGAGTAGAGAGAGAGTGAAGAAGGGAGGAGAGGCGAGAGCTAGAGAGGAGAGGGAGAGACAGAGATAAAAGGAGAGGGAGAGAGAGAGAGAGAGAGAGGCGATAGAGACAGAGAGAGGGAGAGAGAGAGAGAGGCAGAATCAGAGCGAGCTAGAAGAGAGTACACGCTTTACAGAGAGCGCCACTTCCAACTCCGAAGCCCCGTCGGATCACCGAATGCCTCTGAAAAAGCCCCCGAGACGACGCCAGCTTGATGGTGAACCGGGCCGAAGAATTAGAAAACTTTTCCGGGTTACTCAGGTGTTCTGGAATAAATATGAAAAAACGGGTTGTGCTGGAACAATTTATTCTGAAGGATTTCTGCTAGCCTCCCTCTATCTCACTTTCTCTCTCTTGTCTCCTCTCTCTCTCTCTCTCTCTCTCTCTCTCTCCTCCTCTCTTTCTATCTATCTCTGAGGCGCGCCACCCTCGAAAATTGGCTGATCGATCGATTTCCGCCTATCCTCTTCGATTCCACGAATTGTCATTGCGTTACACGAATTGCACAGCTGTCTCCAGGAAGAAATTGTTATTTCCATGTCGATACCATTTACATATCTAAAAAATTGAATACTCCATTCGTGTAAAAAATACATTTTCACGCCCAAAAACCGCGCGGCCGGCGATGGGCGATGCGCCGGAAAATGAGGAGGACGACTCATCGTGGGTTACCGGAGATTTTAGAGCAACGGGGACTGGACTGTTAGCGGGGGGGGGGGCTGCGATTTTTATGATGAAACATATTTTCTAGCCTCCAAGTCGTCGTCTTCGGCGCCCACCTGGTGCTGATCGTGCTAGCCGGCGTGTTCGCGTTGGTCAACTTCTTGGCCTGTCTCTCGGCGAAAAGGTAGATTTCTCAAGGGCGCCAGTCATTTCTCCTGCTAGCCTGCCACCTCTGCTTTCAGACGTCTCCGCCTTCAGCCCCACCCCTCGGCTCCCTCCTTCTGCTTCGCGTTGGCCCCCCTTCCGATCCCAACTACCAGACTCGTGTACCCCATCAAGCGCCACCTCGAGATCGGCAACCGAATAACCAGCTGAACGTCTTCAACTCGTGCTATATTAATGCGATTACAACGATCATCTACTTCTATGGTCTTTTGAATAAATGAGTTAATCTTTTTTTTATGAATGCGTGGTGTAGAAACATGCGGGCGATGGAAGAGAGAGAGAGAGAGCGAGAGAGAGAGGGAGAGGGAGAGAGTGCCAGGGAGAGAGAGATCGTTTCTTGGCCTCTTGGCGGCCGCTTTAGCAGCAGTTAAAACTCACAGTCAAGCATAAAAAAACATGTTGCTTAAAATCATTCGTTCCCGGAAATTTCAACGACCTTAATAGGTTGTTAATGGTTTTTGTCCAAGTATCGGTTATGGGATTTCGGGACTATGTGTTTCAGGATTTAAAAACAAACCCCTTTAAAGAACAGGCATTCCTTAAAGGATTTTATCAGAGATTGGCCTCAGAATTTGCAAATTCTTCCAGTTCACGCCCAAATAGGGAAAGGAAAACATGCGGGGCGGTCGCGTTGCGGTCGTATCTGACCAATTACCAGGAAACAACGCTCAGTGGCTGGATCTGTTTCCTTGGTCCCTTAAAGCGCAGGTTCAGGGAGGGGCCGTGTACTCGGCCCAACGCGTACACCCTATGGACGTTGGGACCGCGCGCGCTGCCTGCCCGTGCCGTGGGAGGCCAATGCCCTCCTCTCCGGGGTGGGGCGCGCCCTTCGGCCCCTCGCCAAGTTGCACCTGTGGCTGACTGGCATGCGACCGCGTCTCCCAATAGGGGGGGGGCCGGGTTCGACACCCGGCCGCGGCAAAAATCTTTGCTTTCTTGCTCAAAAAACGTCCCTGAACGTCTAAGAGTGCCCTTTAAGGTTACGATGCTGACCGAGCCGAGATGGACTCACCTTCGAGATCAAATGCTCATGCTCAATAAAAAAAAGATAAAATTTTACGAAAACATGTTTCAGAAAATCACTGGTTTCGGAGCCTTTGAGCGAGGTTAAGACCATCTGCCAAGTGGTTTCTGTGTTCCTTCCCTTCCCAGTGTCTGCCCAGCTTTAAAATCCAGGAAAATTGATCAAAGGAGTAGATCAAGGAAAGTACGCAGAAATTTCGAATTTCCGATTTCTCCTGCATTTTTACCTCCAATTGGTACAGGAACAGATGCGGGGGCGGTCGCGTTGCGGCCGTAGCTGGCTATTTGCCAGGAATCATCGCTGAGGTAGAGTGGTTCAAGCTTCTTAGGGCGTTTATGGTAGCTGGTGGCCTCTTCAACACTGGTTTTTCACGATCCAATGCTCATCTGCAATCAAGAATTTCCAGCATGCGAAAACATGTTTCGAAAAATCACTGGTTTCGGAAAATTTGTACGAGGTTACTTTCTTCTTAAGATCCTTCTCTTTGCAGCCCGGGGTAAATCCATCAGCGAATTTTCTCAAGGTCACAGAATTCTCCATGTCTGGCATTTTCACCTCCAAATTGGGCCCTTAAGAATACGCCGGTGGCCGCTCCAAGGTCAAGATCCAATGCTCATGCTCAATAAAAAAAAATCAAATTTACGAAAACATGTTTCAGAAAATTAGTTGTTCCGGAAGCTTTTAGCGAGGTTAATACCCTCTGCCAATTGATTCCCTTGAAAACCCTTCCAAAAAACCTCGAAATTTCTCAAAGAATGGCTTATAATTTTTAAACCAGGGTTGAAAACCGCTTCGCAGCTTTTCAACCCTGGCCTAGTCTAGGACCGATGAAAGTCTTCAATTTGCATGCTTCTTCCGGAAATCTATCAGGAAAAAGTGAAACGGCTCCTGTCTGCTTTATAGGCTATCCCACTTCCGGCTTATGCTAATCGATCCCTAACAAAGAGGGTGGGCGAGAATTTTACAAAAATTTGTTTTTAATAGCGAAAATAGCAATTTTCCAAAGATTTTATGTGCGTGCAGTCGATTCCAGACCCTTCTTTACCTAATGACGTTTCTGCCCAATCGAAAAAATTCTTCCCTGAGGCTGTAGGTGCGGAACATCCTCACGGAAGTTGCATGCAAATGCACACACACATACAGACACTATTTTTTATATATAGTAGTAGGATTCTGAAATTCTCCAATCCGCATGGGGAAGGAGCGCATCGGGAGGCGGTCGCGTCGCGCCCTCATCTGGCTTTCTGCCGGGAATAAACACTCAGGACGAGTGGAGGTTTCTTGCTCCCTTTAAGGTGGGCTGGTGGCCTCTTCAACATAACGTTTTTCACGGTCATCCGCGATCAAAAATTTTCCACATTCGAAAACATGTTTCGAAAAATAGCTGGTTTCGGAAAAATTGTAAGAGTTTAATATCCTTTCAAAATCCCTCTCTTTACAACCCGGGAAAATCGATCAAAGAGTCGCAGCCTCATCTGGCTATTTGCCAGGAACCAACGCCCAAGGGGCATCGATCAGGCTTCTTGGTCTTTTAGGCTAGACTGGTCGCCGATTTACCATCAAGTTTTGAGAGATTTAGTTCAACTCATCTTCATCAAAAAAATTTCCAACATCCGAAAACATGTTTCAAAAAAATTAGTGGTTCCGCAAAATTCCAGTGAGATTAATGCGCTGTGCAAGTATCTTCGACGAATTTTCTGGAAGAAAGTCCTCAGAATTTTCCATTTTTTGCATTTTCATCTCCAAATAGGGACAGGTTCATCTCCAAATAGATGCGTTGCAGCTGCATCAGGCTATTTGCCAGGAATCGGCGCGAAGCGGGGCCGAGCCGGGCTTCTTGGCCGCTTTAAAGTTAAAGTGAACGATTTTCTTACTGTATTTCGTTCTCCATTCTCTAAGGTATACATGGGTCGACGCTTGCATGCGCCGCATAAGCGTGGCCGGCCACGCTCTTCCGGAGCGTGGAGAGCCACGCTGGCGCGCGTGCCTCTTAATAAACCACGCCGAAATGAGCGTGGCCCGCCACGCTCCGGAAACGCTTATGCAAAGCTTCTAAAAATACAAAATCAAAGTTTTCCAAGGGACATGAAAGCAAAAATCGATCCGTTTTCGAGAATTTAATTAACAAGAAGTTGAATGATGATCTATTTGTTTATTTATCAAAATTTAAAGATGACCCTGATAGTTATGTATCGGTAATTCATTTTTGCAAATCGAAATCATAAATTTATGTGCTTTAAATTTTTGATTTGCTCTGGAGTTAAATCGCGCGCGTGAAAAGCGCGCATAAAGCGCCGCATAAGCGTGGTCCTCACGCTCCGGAAGAGCGTGGCCAGCCACGCTTATGCGGCCGCATGCAAGCGTCGACCCATGTATACTCTAAGGTACCATAAAATTCCCATGAAAAGCCATTTATTCCACTCGAGACAATGAAACGGAAAATACAACACGATACGATACGATACAAAACACGGAATTGTATTCGAAACGGGCGGAGTATTGATTCGTTTTTCACGGCTTCTTCGGCTTCTTACCACTGCGCCTGGGGCTCGGCGAGATGTCACGCGTCTTGTCCTTTGACGTCGGGAAATTCTGGAAATTACAGAGATTTTTGAGAGAGAGAGGCGAGAGAGAGAGAGAGAGAGAGAGAGAGAGAGAGAGGAGAGAGAGAATTAGAGAGAGTGAGAGAGTGAGAGTGAGGAGGAGAAGGAGAGAGTGAGAGGGAGAGTGAGAGTGAGAGAGAGCGAGAGAGCGAGATAGAAAGTGAGAAAGCGAGAGAGAGACAGAGAGAGACAGAGAGAGAAGGAGAGAGCGAGAGAGACATAGAGCGAGAGAGATACCGACCATCGGGTAATCATGCTGCTGGGTGCACTCCTTGGACGGGACGGCGCTGCTGCTGCGCGCGTTTCGAGAGTCGACAGGGCGCTTCTTCTCCTACAAACGTACGCCTTGGCTGTCACTGCCCCTGTAAGCTGACCTTGCTGAGCTTGTTGCGGTTGCGGCGGGCGCTCTGGTCGGTCTGCTGGCGGCTCTCCGCCGTCCGGTCATCTCCAGCAGTGCGAGTGTTGTCGCGTTTGCGGCGGTCTGCGCGTGAGCGGGAGCGCGAGCGCGTGCCGCTGTCGTCTTCCTTGAAAAATTCGGGTTAAATGGTCTCTGCTAGCTGGCCGTTTCTCAAACCTAAATTTTCTCTGCTAGCCTGCCTCTTCCCCCTCTCTCATCCCAAATGACCCCTGCTAGCCTGCCCTACCCTCTCGGTTTTGCTGCGCGTCGCGTCACGCGAGCGGCGGTCGCCCTTCTTCCCGCCCTCCTTCGACTGCTTCCTGCGCTTCCCGGCCTTGGGTTTCCCGCTTCCGCTTCTGCTCTTATTCTTGCGCTTCGGGCTGGGGCTCTGGGCACGGGAGGCGGGCTGGGCAACGGACTGAAAAAAATTAGAAAATCCAGTTTTTAATCGTATTTAGACCCATTTTCGAATTTCCTCAAAGAATCTCTGCTAGCCTGCCCCTCCATTCCGCAAAGAACCTCTGCTAGCCCACCACTTGACTGCCCGTCGTCGTGCCGAGTGTCCAGTCCTCCGGATTCTCGTAGTCCTTCTTCAGGAAGTTCTTCTTCTTCTGGCCGACGCTGGCGGCACGCGACGCGTCCGCCTCAGCTGACTTGCTCTTCGACTTTCTGCCTCCTCCACCGGACTTCTTGGGTTTGCGGTTCAGCGTCTGCGACTCGGAGACGGCCATCTGGAGATGGAATCGATGGATTATTTCTCTTCACTGGCCTGAGGGAAGAAAAAAAAAGAAAAAAACCTGCCTTGCCAGTTCCTTTAAACTTCCTAAGCTACCGTACCCGCGAAGCGGCGAGATTGCTCGGCTTCTTTCGTCCTTTTTGGTCCTTGTTAAGGCTCGGCTGAAAATGAATCGAAATTTCCTCAGGAATCGCTGCTAGCCTGCCCCGTCCATTTCTCAAAGAATCTCTGCTAGCCTGCCCCTCCATTCCTCACAGAATCTCTGCTAGCCTGCCCCTTCATTCCTCACAGAATCTCTGCTGGCTCGCCACCAACCACGAGCCGTTCGGTGAGCGCTTGGAGCTGGCGCCTGCTGTTGGGGCGCTGTTGTTTGGATCGGACGCTCGGCTGTCCGACTGGGACCCGGATTTGGAGGCCGACGAGCGCGAGCCGTTCAGCGAGTCGGTCCGGGGGAGGGCTGCGGGCTTGTTGTGCTTCGACGGGAGTAAACGCTTCCAGCCCTGGAAGAAGATAATCCCTCCCCCTCCCCATGATCTCTGCTAGCCCCCACCTTCGGCTTCCTGACGTCCCGACTGTTGCTGACCGACGCCGTGGAGTTGCTGCGGGACAACGACTCGCGCTCCGGGTCCACTCTCGTCTTCTCCAGCTCGTTCATCCGCTTACGGTAGATCTTGGCCGAGACGACGAGCAGGGCGAGGAGGATGCAGATCATGATCACGTGGCCGAGCACCGACGCGAACAGGGGCAACCTGGCAGAGATCATTTGGGATGAGAGAGAGGGGGAGGGGCAGGCTAGCAGAGATCATTTGGGATGAGAGAGAGGGGGAGGGGGCAGGCTAGCAGAGATCATTTGGGATGAGAGAGGGGGGGGGGGCAGGCTAGCAGAGATCATTTGGGATGAGAGAGGGGGAGGGGGCAGGCTAGCAGAGATCATTTGGGATGAGAGAGGGGGGAGGGGCAGGCTAGCAGAGATCATTTGGGATGAGAGAGGGGGGGGGGGCAGGCTAGCAGAGATCATTTGGGATGAGAGAGAGGGGGGGGGCAGGCTAGCAGAGATCATTTGGGATGAGAGGGGGGGGGGGGCAGGCTAGCAGAGATCATTTGGGATGAGAGAGGGGGGGAGGGGCAGGCTAGCAGAGATCATTTGGGATGAGAGAGAGGGGGAGGGGCAGGCTAGCAGAGATCATTTGGGATGAGAGAGAGGGGAGGGGGCAGGCTAGCAGAGATCATTTGGGATGAGAGAGAGGGGGAGGGGCAGGCTAGCAGAGATCATTTGGGATGAGAGAGAGGGGAGGGGCAGGCTAGCAGAGATCATTTGGGATGAGAGAGAGGGGAGGGGGCAGGCTAGCAGAGATCATTTGGGATGAGAGAGAGGGGGGAGGGGGCAGGCTAGCAGAGATCATTTGGGATGAGAGGAGGGGGGGAGGGGGCAGGCTAGCAGAGATCATTTGGGATGAGAGAGAGGGGGGAGGGGGCAGGCTAGCAGAGATCATTTGGGATGAGAGAGAGGGGGGGGGGGGCAGGCTAGCAGAGATCATTTGGGATGAGAGAGGGGGGAGGGGGCAGGCTAGCAGAGATCATTTGGGATGAGAGAGGGGGAGGGGCAGGCTAGCAGAGATCATTTGGGATGAGAGAGAGGGGGGAGGGGGGCAGGCTAGCAGAGATCATTTGGGATGAGAGAGAGGGGGAGGGGGCAGGCTAGCAGAGATCATTTGGGATGAGAGAGAGGGGGGGGCAGGCTAGCAGAGATCATTTGGGATGAGAGAGGGGGGGGGGGCTAGCAGAGATCATTTGGGATGGAGGGGGGGGGGGGCAGGCTACAGAGATCATTTGGGATGAGAGGGGGGGGGGCAGGCTAGCAGAGATCATTTGGGATGAGGGGGGGGAGGGGCAGGCTAGCAGAGTCATTTGGGTGAGGGGGGGGGGGGCAGGCTAGCAGAGATCATTTGGGATGAGAGAGGGGGGAGGGGCAGGCTAGCAGAGATCACGTGGGAAAATACCCACATATCTTGCGACTTCTTCTTTTTCCCCTTGGGACCTTGAGCAGGAGCAGGTGCGGGCCGGGTGAAGACGAGCTGATCGCAGTAGGCCTGCTCCAGGGCGTCGCCCGCCCCGTCGATGTACTTCTGGTGGAGGGCGCGCAGGGTGCTGCTCACTGGAAACAACGAGTTCAACAAGTTCAACAAGTTTCCCAAATGATCTCTGCTAGCCGACCATTTGTAGTGGGCGCGTGCGGATCCGTCGCGCTGGGTGGAGCTTCGTTGAATGCTAGGAAAGTTATAGAAATTCTTAAAGACCAGACAAAACCAACCACACGGACACTTCGGCTCGGCCGTCCTCTTGTACGTCTTGTAGCAGCCGGGTTGAGCATCTACTCGGTCGCGTAGCAGCAGGCAGTACGTCTCGCCGGGGTGGGGGCAGACTGAAGACAAAAGAATTTCAGCTAGCCGCCCTTCAGTTCCTCAAAGAATCTCTGCTAGCCTGCCCCTCCATTCCTCAAAGAATCTCTGCTAGCCTGCCCCTCCATTCCTCAAAGAATCTCTGCTAGCCTGCCCCTCCATTCCTCAAAGAATCTCTGCTAGCCTGCCCCTCCATTCCTCAAAGAATCTCTGCTAGCCTGCCCCTCCATTCCTCAAAGAATCTCTGCTAGCCTGCCCTCCATTCCTCAAAGAATCTCTCTCCTGCCCCTCCATTCCTCAAAGAATCTCTGCTAGCTGCCCCCCATTCCTCAAAGAATCTCTGCTAGCCTGCCCCTCCATTCCTCAAAGAATCTCTGCTAGCCTGCCACTCCATTCCTCAAAGAATCTCTGCTGGCATGCCCCTCCATTCCTCAAAGAATCTCTGCTAGCCTGCCCCTCCATTCCTCAAAGAATCTCTGCTAGCCTGCCCCTCCATTCCTCAAAGAATCTCTGCTAGCCACCCACCATACACGACCTCGATGTCGCCATCAGCCTTCTTGATGTGTTCGTTGAAGGCGTCTCCACCAGATGCCAAGGATGCTGCTTTACACGGTGGCTTCACGGACGGGTCGTACGGGTTCCCGTCGACGGCGCACCGAAATTTGCCCTAAATTGGGGACGCGGATCGATATCGTAGGGGTATTTTTACCACGGCAACCGAGTGATGACTTGGGAAAAGGTCGACGATCAGGACGACCCAAAATAAGGGGTGTCTCATCCGACCGAGTGGGGAGGTGAAGGGTTGGAAAATACAGGAAAATTGAGTTTTAAGCAAAATTGACTGGGATGCAAATTACGGCAACTCGGCTCTAGAGTACAAAATGGGCTGTTGGCCCTCTGCTACCTGGAGTTGGACATCTCAAGGAGAGTGCGTCGACTACGTCCCACACCCACAGTAGCAGCGCGTACTCCTGGTAATTCCTGACGCGAGACGCAGTGCACGGATGATGGATGGTGTGTGACCAATGGCAGAGAACCGTGGTTCTGTATCCCTGGTCGCCAAGCTTACGGAAGGTGTGCGTACTGATAGGGTTTACAAGTTACAGGTGTAGTCTAGGGGGACGTACTGTAATGATTCGTAGCGTCGGGGTATGTACGGTACTATTTTTGGGAGGACAGAAGATATGCGAGTATACGGCGTGAGGACATACTGTACGAGAGCGTACGTGGCGCAGGTGCACGCTGGAAAGTTTCGGACATTTTTCACGTGGCCTCCGTATACGCTCCAGTAACGTACCGGGGTGACTCGTCGTACCAGCGCGCACAGTACGAGAGTTTGCGGGCACGGTTGCGTGCGGTACAAGCGTAGGATGATATGCATACGGACGTACAACATCGCGAATTACTACAGGATAAAGTAGGGCACAGGCAAAATAGAGGCTAGTGAGTCTGACTCCCCGCGATTTTGCCCGGTATATTTATTGCCATAAACGCAAATACAAACAAACACACATGGAATGGAATTGGCCACAGAATTTACCACGCCCACCCAATCACAATAGAACAGATATGGATTGCAATTTTTAGAGGTTTTTTGCCGGGGTTTGTGAGGCGTGGGGGCGTAGTGGTCGAGGGAGAGGAACAGGGCAGAGGCGGGCGACGCGACGGGCGAGCCTGAAAAAATATCGATAAAGTGATAATCAAAAACTAAGGCAGTAAGAGAGCGAGAGAGAGAGCGAGAGAGAGCGAAAGAGTGAGAGAGCGAGAGAGAGAGAGAGAAAGAGCGAGAGAAAAATAAACATCGAAATAAAAACAAAAACCTACCCCAAAAACCCGATAGACTGATGATGGTGAACGGCTTGAAGAAGTGGCCGGCTTCTACAGCTCAGGATGACGTTGTGCGTTCTGGGTTTTGCGCTAAAAAAGAGGTATGTAATGAGGTATCTAAGGTACTAGGCTATTAACGGGGGAGGGACTTGCGCTTCGGCACTGACCTTCTTGATGGCCAGGTAGTCGGCGACGTGGTACTCGGTGATTTTCTGCGGCTTGGACTTCTTCGTCGCGTCGGGCTTGCATACCAGCTCGAACGGCTTGGTCATGTCGCGCTCCAGGCCCGGGTAGCAGGCGATCGTGTCGCCGTTTTGGCAGGGCACCGAGTGGAGCGGGCAGACTAGAAAATGGGAGTGTGTGCCAGAGAGAGAGAGAGAGAGAGAGAGAGAGAGAGAGGGAGGGAGAGAGGGAGATAGAGAGAGGGCCAGAGTGAGAGTGAGAGTGAGAGAGAGACAGCGAGACAGGGAGCTAGAGAGCAGAGACGGAGAGAGAGAGAGAGAGAGAGAGAATGCAAGCGAGAGAGACCCACCATAAAACACCTTGTACTTGTCGAGGTCGTGCTTCACATATTCGTAGTACAAGGTGCGCTCGGCGCGTTTATGCGGGGTCGAGTCCACTTCGCAATGTGGCCACTCGGGCCCGAATCCCTTGCCCGTCGCCAAGCAGTACAGCGTCCGTTTGGACTGCAGGGTGTCGTCGGGTCGAATGGCGAGCTTCTGGCTCTGGCCGAGGTCCTTGTAGAGCAGCATCATCTCCTGGCTGGCCGCTGCAAAAAGGGTGATGAAGGAGGACGGCTCCACCGCGATTACCGCGAAGCGGTTTTTCAACCCTGGTTAAGATGAAAATTGTACTTACCGGTTTCCAACGTGAGCCCCAGGCTTGCGTTCGACATCTTGCAGACGGGCGGTGAGCCGGTGACGTTCAAGTCATTAGAGTTGTAGCATCCGGGCAGTCCGTTCGGCTCGGTCTCCGCGCAGAACGTCTGGGTCGCGTTGCAGCCTACAAGAAAGAGATTTTGAAAACATCACCCTATATCTCTCTCTCTCTCTCACTCTTACTCTCTCGCTCTCTCGCACTCTCGGCTCTCTGCTCTCCCGCTCTCCTCTCCTCTCTCCTCTCTCTCGTTCTCTCTCACTCTCCTCGCTCTCACGACTGGCTATCTCTCACTCTCACTCTCTCTCGCTTACGCGCTCTCTCTCACCCTCTCTCGCTCGCTCCCTATCTTTCTCACTCTCTCTCTCTCTATATATCACTCTATCTCGCTCTCTCTCCCTCTCTCCCTCTCTCGCTCTCTCCCGCTCTCTCCCCCGCCCTCCCTCGCTCCCACTCTTTCTCACTCTCCCTCTATCACTCTCTCTGTTTCTCTCTCTCTCTCTCTCTCTCTCTCTCTCACCATAGTAGACGTGATGCCACAAGTTCGGCTCGTTTTTGATGACCTCCTCGGCGGCGATGGCCGCACCTTCCGGGGGTTTGTCGGCCAGATATTGGCAGCCCGAGTCCACGTCGTACGGTACGCCACCCACGCTGCACCAGGCTTTCCACTATAACAAAATTAATATGTTTTAGATACCAGTTCCCCCCCCCCGCTAAGGGTCCAGTACCTTGGAGAACAAGTAGGGCGAACGTTGGACGGTAAAGCTGCGGCCACATTTCAGCTCGGCTCCGTTGGTCCGCTGCGCCTTGTTGTAGTAGTCCATGGCGGCGAGGAGCTCGGGGCTGGCTGGAAAAGGGGCGGGGGCGTCATCAAGCAGTACCAGCAACGTACCGGATTCTTTGAGCGTCGTATTCTTGTTAGCCGAGTCTGAAAATAGGGTTGATTTTGGGGTGGTAGTTGAACTTACTGCAAGCACACGGCGACGGGCTGGAGACGTCGCTGTAGCAGCCGGGGCCCAGCCACCAGTCGGCAGACAGCCCACCGAACAAGCAGAACACCTCGTTCGGTCCGCGGCAGGCTGAAAATGAGATCGAGCTTTAGGAGATTGAGCAAAGCCTAAGCCAAGCCTAAGCCAAGCCTAAGCCAAGCCTAAGCCAAGCCTAAGCCAAGCCTAAGCCAAGCCCAAGCCTAAGCCTAAGCCTAAGCCTAAGCCAAGCCTAAGCCAAGCCTAAGCCAAGCCTAAGCTAAGCCTAAGCCCAGCCTAAGCCAAGCCTAAGCCCAGCCTAAGCCAGGCCTAAGACAAGCCTAAGCCAAGCCTAAGCCAAACCTAAGCCAAGCCTAAGCCCAGCCTAAGCCCGGCCTAAGCCAAGCCTAAGCCAAGTCTAAGCCAAGCCTAAGCCAAGCCTAAGCCAAGCCTAAGCCAAGCCTAAGCCAAGCCAGCTTACCATAAACGACGTTGTAGGAGAATGCCTTGGCTGTGGCGGGGATTTGTTCGATGAAAGCGATCCGTTCGTCGCTGATCTCGCCCTCGGCGGGCTTGTTGAACGACGTGCAGCCGTCCTTCTGTTTCGTTGACCACAGTCGTGTCGGGGTGCAGTAGTGGACGAGGTTCTGGAAAGGGTATACTTAACGTTAAGTTACAAAAAGAGTATAGAAAACCAGAATTTCAAAAAAAAACAATTTTTTTTCGCGCCAAAGGGGCTTTTAGGGCGCGCGGCAATTACATGTCGTAATGCCCTCCCCGGCTTCCAACTCCTCGATCTCGGTGATTTCTGGACCACTTTTGAAAACTAAAAAGGGCTAGAACCATCAAAATTTGCCAAGGATTTCGAATCTGGCGTCAAAATTTGGAATTTCACGTGCTTTGACGTCCACACGACGTGATGTTGCGAATGTTCAGACCCCGACCGACCCTTACGCCTGTATCTTAGCTCCCCATGGTGCCACAGCGGTGTCAAGTATACCAAAATGTGCGGCTTGGCCTGGGGAGTATTTTGGTGTGCTTCGCATCAAAATAGACCTTTAACGCGCGCGGCTATTACATGGCGTAATGGCGCCAACTGCCACACATGTATCTTAGCTTCCTGTCGTGCTACAAAGCTCTTAAATATGCCAAAATATGCGTCTTGGCCTGGGGAGTATTTTGGTATACTTTATAGCCCAGTAGCACATCATCGAGGCGAGCTACAACAGTCGGAAGCCTCCGGGAAGTTCCAGGCGTCGCGTTTCGCGGCCGTACAATAGGCGCAATTTCCTGGCGTGCTACAAAGCTCTAAAATATGCCAAAATATGCGCCCGGGTCTGGGGAGTATTTTCGTATACTTGACGGCCCAGTAGCACATCATCGAGCCGAGCTACAACAGTTGGAAGCCCCGGGAAGTTCCACGCGTCGCGTGTCGCGGCCGAACCAGAGACAATCGAATCACCGATCATACCCTGTAGTATGGCACGGCGGGGATGTAGTTGCGCACTCCGCAGAGCGACAGAGTGTAGTTGGCCGGGCAAGGGTACTTCACCTGGTCGCCGTACCGCTTGAGGAGCTCCCACATGTAGAGGCCGGCTGAAGGAAAGTTGGTAATTTAAGCGGGACATTTCTCGTGATACCCGTCGGCTTGTCGAGTCGATTCGGCGTGCCCGGCAGCTTCGCTAAAAACAGATTGAACCGTCAAGTGCCCAGGAGAAGACATACCCCCCGCTAACAGACAAGCCCCAATATACCGCCTGTCCTACCGCATTTAAATTCTGGTGCCGGTGCCGTGCCGGTTCTCTTCACTTCCGACGTCGAGTAGCAGCCCGGGGGGTCGATTCCTTCGATCTGATCCTCAGAGCAGTAGATCTGCGAATCCGGGCATGCTAAAGAGGGATAGGTAGAGAGAGAGAGAGAGAGGGAGAGAGAGAGAGACAGTGAGAGCGAGAGCGAGATAGAGAGAGAGGTCGAGCGAGCGAGAGAGAGGGGGCGAGGGAGCGAGGGGGAGATAGAGAGAGAGGGAGCGAGAGAGAGTGATCGGGAAGGAAAGCGGAGAGATAGAGAGAGAGAGAGAGAGAGAGAGAGAGAGAGAGAGAGGATAAGGGAGAGAGAGAGAGAGAGAGAGAGAGAGAGAGAGAGAGGGAGAGGGCGAGAGAGAGCGTGCGAGAAGAGAGATGGAGCGGCAGAGATAAAGAGAAGAAAGAGAAAGAAGAAAGAAAGAAAGAGAGACGACAGAGAGAGAGAGAGAGAGAGAGAGACCTACCATATCGGATGGTAAGCTTGTGGTTGGCGCCGGGCGGTGAGATCTGCTCAGTCAGCACCAGCGCCTTGTCGCCGAGCCCGGTTGCCTCATCGTGGAGGGCGATCTTGTTGCCAAGGGCGTATGGCGAGAACGGGCCCGCGTTCATCTGGTACACGTACGACAACTGGAAGCAGGACAGTAGGGGGTATTGAAACCTTTAATCTAACCTCAAGCACCTCATCGGCGCTGCGCTTCACGAAGAGCCTGGCGCCGCAGGCCGGCTCGCCTTGCTTCACCGTCTGGAATTTAGCAGTCGTTGCGCGAATTATGGTACTGGGCTATTAACGAGGGGGGGGAAGCAGAAGTTGATCTTAACAACTTTAAAAGCATCCACCTTTGTAAGAGCCTTGAAACGCTCGAGCGCAGCATCGCGCATCGTGGCGCTGATCATCGACACCAAAGTGCCGCTATTGCCTAGAATCAAGGGATGAGTATACGAGGGACTTTATGAGCTTACAAGCTAAGCCTAAACCAAGCCTAAGCCAAGCCTAAGCCAAGCCTAAGCCAAGCCTAAGCCAAGCCTAAGCCAAGCCTAGCCAAGCCTAAGCCAAGCCTAAGCCAAGCCTAAGCCTAAGCCTGAGCCAAGCCTAAGCCAAGCCTAAGCCAAGCCTAAGCCAAGCCTAAGCCAAGCCTAAGCCAAGCCTAAGCCAAGCCTAAACCAAGCCTAAGCTAAGCCTAAACCAAGCCTCCAGCCTACCCTAAACCAAGCCTAAGCTAAGCTGCCCTAACACAGCCCTACCGCAGCGGCAGTCGTTGAGCTCGTGGTCAAGTTTGCCGATGCGCTGAGTGTTCTTGTAGCAGCCCGGGCTCTTGCCACCGCCACCGAGGCAGAACACCTGGTCGGTGCCCGGGCAGGCTGAAATTGGGGTGGTTGGAATGGCTAGAACAACCCCATCTACCGTATCTGACGTGCTCGCGGTGGCCGTCGTTGTGCTCGACAATCTCGTTGTAGAAGATGCGTGGGCTGTCCGGCTCGATGGCGGGCTTGTTGTGCCGGCCGCAGCCGTAGCCGCCCGGCAGCCACGGGTCAGCCAGAGCGGTGCAATCGACGGGTAGCTGAAGTGGAAGGTCAACACTCCAGATAACTGCCCCGCCCCGAGCCGGCGCCCAACTTTTGTATCTCGGCCGCCTGTTCATCTACAGGTGTGTAAAGTATACCAAAATGTTTGTCTTGCTTTGACGAGTATTTTGGTATACTTTACACACCTGTAGATGAACAGGGAGTCGAGATACGGTAGGTGGGGGTCGGCTAGGGGGGCAAACTGCACTTAAAGACCGTCAGAACGATGAAATATCGTTTAGAGCAAGAAAGTTGCGCACCGGGCGGGGGTCGAACCCGCGATGGTTCGCTCCACAGTCCGACGCGCTAGCCACTACACCACAGGGCCAAGTGGGGAAGGGAGTCAGAGGCGCCCCAAGCCCCAGAGGGCCTTTGCCCAATACGGGGCACGACTAATGACGCCTCTCTCCGCGCGTTCTTGGGGGCAGCACCCTCGGGGTGACAGTGCGCGTTCCATCGTTCTGGTAGTCTTTAAGCCCGCAGTCATACCGAGAATCGGGTCGGCTGCTCGAGTGGGGTGGCGCCGGCGAGCAGTCCTTGGCGGTGGGGGCACATCCGGAGGTCCTGGAAAAGGAATTGTTGAGGTACTCGTACAGCCGTAGATACCCTCGGGGACTTGACGATCTCGACGAGGACGTGGTGGAAGTTCTTGACGAGGTCGGCACGTACGGTCGGGTAGCGGCGGCAGGTGCAGTGCTGAAAGAACGGAAGTTCCGACGAAGCTTGAGGCTTGGCTTAGGCTTGGCTTAGGCGGCTTAGGCTTGACTAGGCCGACTTGGGCCCAGGCTTGGCCAGGCTTGACTTAGGCATTTAGGCCGTAGGCTTGCAGGCTTGGCTTAGGCCTGGCTTAGGCGCTAGGCTTGAGGCCAGGCTTGGCTTAGGCTCATGGCCTGCTAGGCCTGGCTTAGGCCTGGCTTAGGCCTGGCTTAGGCAAACGGCTTAGGCCTGGCCTAGGCCTGGCTTAGGCACGGAGGCCTGGCTTAGGCCTTGGCCTAGGCTTGGCTTAGGCCTGGCTTAGGCCTGGCTTAGGCTTGGCTTAGGCTTGGCTTAGGCTTGGCTTAGGCTTGCTTAGGCCTGGCTTAGGCCATATTAGCTGGCAGCGGCAAGCCTACAGGCGGCTTAGGCCTAGCTTAGGCTTGGCTTAGGCTTGCATAGCCAGGCTTGGCTTAGGCTTGGCTTAGGCTTGGCCAAGGCCGGCTTAGGCTTGGCTTAGGTTCAATTAGGCCTGGCTTAGGCTTGGCTTAGGCTTGGCTTAGGCGCTAGGCTTGAGGGCTTGGCTTAGGGCTTGGCTTAGGCTTGGCTTAGGCTTGCTTAGGCTTGGCTTAGGCTTGGCTTAGGCTTGGCTTAGGCTTGGCTTAGGCTTGGCTTAGGCTTGGCTTAGGCTTGGCTTAGGCTTGGCTTAGGCTTGGCTTAGGCGCTTGGCTTAGGCTTGGCTTAGGCTTGGCTTAGGCTTGGCTTAGGCTTGGCTTAGGCTTGGCTTAGGCTTGGCTTAAGCCTATACCTGCTCGTCCGTCTGCTTCCACTCGATGGTCTGGTAGTGGTAGCAGCCGGCGTACCACAGGTTGACTTCCCCATCCAAGCTGAAGCAGGCAACGGACCGCGGGGGGCACAGCACTGAAAAAAGTGATGTATCTCGGGGGTCCGTCTGAACTGCTAGAACTTGTCCAACCCAAAAAGGCGAGATTTTTGTCCTGTAGCGCCGTATGAACTGCTAGAACTCATCGGGGGCCACTCACCAACCAATACCGGTTCATCAGCCGAGGCTTGCTTGGTGAAGATGACGCGGCGGAGGTAGTTGGGTTCATCGGGCACGAGTGGGCAGTTGGCCAGCTTCTCTTGCTCCATCTGTTCCAGCGAGCAGAACTTGTACTCCACTGAAAATGGGTGATTGACAGAGGCAGAGAGAGAGCGCCGGAGAGAGAGAGTGAGAGAGAGTGAGCGAGAGCCAAGGGAGGAGCGGGAGAGAGAACGGAGAGAGAGTGAGAGACGGAGCGAGAGAGAGAGAAAGAGAGAGAGAGACAGTGAGCGAGAGCCAGGGGAGAGAGCGGGAGAGATAAAGGAGAGAGATTGAGAGACAGAGAGAGATAGAGGGAGAGAGAGGCAGAGAGAGAGAGTGATAGAGAGAAATAGAAAGACAGACAGAGAGAGAGAGAGAGAGAGACCCACATGGTTTGACAACGTCTTGACCGGCGGTGGCTCCAAGGAGAAGCACAGCGAGGAGAAGGGAGAGCAGGTGATGGGAGCAGCCCCTGAAGCCGAACGCCATCAGCACGGAGGTACAGAAATGCCCTCTTTTCGAAGCAATTTTCGAGGTGAGCATCAACCGGAAGTTAATTTCAATTTCAGATGCTAATGACCGCTTCCAAATTCTGAGCTGTAGATGTTTTCTTAGAAACTCCACTCGCTGCCCGCCCCCCGACATCTTCAACAAGTAGAGCCGTCCCCCTAGCTGACGTCGAGAGCACCTGCCCTTCTTCGCGTCGTCGGAACTTGCTGGAAATGGGTGGCAATCAGGTCACTGTATTGCAATTTGCTGTTTCTGCAACCATTTGGAGATCTCTCTCGCTCTCTCTCACTCTCACTGTCACTCTCACTCCCTCGCTCTCTCTCTCTCTCTCTCGTTTTCGCTCTCTCTCCTCTCGCACTCCTCTCTCTCACTTTCTCTCTCTCTCTCTCTCTCTCTCTCTCTCTCTCTCTTCTCTCTATCTCTTTCTCTCTCTCTCTCTCTCTCTCTCTCTCTCTCTCTCTCTCTCTCTCTCTCTCTCGTCGAAAAATCTTTATTCTTTAGCCACAGGCAATACAATAAATCAGAAAAACACACGCGGGGCATCGGGATGAGAAATGTTACTAGGACTAGCAGAAACTGAAGAGAGACATGCAAAAATACAATAGCAAAGAAAACGGATCCAGAGGAAGCGGTAGGCTAGCAGGGATTCTTGAGGAGTCGACCCCGATCAGTACTTCCGGCGAGCCACCTCAATGACGGTGATCTGCGCCTCGCGGCGCAGCATCTCACGCCTGTACAGCCAGTAGACGAGGGCCGTCTGGAATGGAGGGCTTGGGCTTGGCTTAGGCTTGGTATAGGCTTGGCTTGGGCTTGGCTTGGGCTTGGCCTAGGCTTGGCTTAGGCTTGGCTTAGGCTCGGCTTGGGCTTGGCTTAGGCTTGGCTTAGGCTTGGTCTAGGCTTGGCTTAGGCTTGGCTTAGGCTTGGCTTAGGCTTGGCTTAGGCTTGGCTTAGGCTTGGCTTAGGCTTGGCTTAGGCTTGGCTTAGGCTTGGCCTAGGCTTGGCTTAGGCTTGGCTTAGGCTTGGCTTAAGCACTCACAATGGCGACGCAGATGGGCAGCAGGATGCCGTGGAAGAAGAGTACCATGTGGAGACGTCTGAAAAGGCCATTAAACTAGAGGTATTCCAACAACTTCGAGCCGTTCAATAGCCGGATTAGGTTTTTACGAATCTTTCAGAATTTTAAAAAACCTGGAGCTTTCGTATTATCGGGGGGGGGGGAATTCTTAAGCTTAGACTTGAGCTTATCACCCACTCGTTAATCGCCTGTTGAGCAAGCTCAGCCCTGCGAGCGGCGGCTAGCCGTCTGCGCTCGTCGGTCCCGCTCGACCTGGCGGCGTCGGTGCTCTCGGGTGGGATGACGCCCGCCTTGCGCTTGTAGAGGGCGCTGCAGATGGCGCCGCGGGGATCCTAAAATGGGGGCGGCGGCGTAAAGCGACACGGGTCTTTGGGGAAATCCCTAAGAAACTCTGCTAGCCGCCCCGCTCAAATTCCTCAAAGAATCTCTGCTAGCCTGCCCCTCCATTCCTCAAATGATCTCTACCAGCTTGCCTCTTTCTGGTACTTTTCCAGCCATTGTAGCAGCGCCTAATTGAAGGGCACCGCCGGCTCCAGGTCGTAGTCGTCACGGTCCACTGGAAAAAGTGGAATCTCTCTCTCTCTCATTATCTCTCTCTATATCTCTATATCTCTCTCTTTCTCTCTCTCTTTCTCTCTCTCTCTCTCTTATCTCTCTATCTCCCTTATTCTTTCTCTCTCTCTCTCTCTCTCTCTCTCTCTCTCTCTCTCTCTCTCTCTCTCTCTCTCCCTCTCCCTTACAAACACAGCTGCACGTCGCCCTGTCTCCACGTTTCACTTGGTATTCCGCGTAGCAGCCGGGGTCGTAATACGTCGAGGACGGGCCGGTCAGCGTCTGGCAGTAGACCAGGTCCGGGCTACCGCAACCTAGAAACAGCGATTTTAAAGAGGCCGGCATGGCATGAGAATGGGCTTTAGCGGTAGGTCGCGGACCGCGACGCACCTAGGCTGGCTGCGACGAGTATCGCGCTGCGTATCGCGTCATGTGCATCAGTATTTGTCGCGTGGCGTGTCGCGTTGCGTACCGCGTTGCGCCGCGCGGTAAAACCGTACTGCGTATCGCGTTGCACGCGCGCACCCTGCAATTCGCGTCGCATCACGCTGCGTCGCCGGATGCGCGTAGCTTTGCGGTGCGGGCCCTATAGTGTCTCGTCACGTCGCGTATCGCATGTTGCCTGGCGCGTTGCGAGCCAGCGTAAGTGTAACGTTGCGTTGCGTCGCCTCACATCGCCGAACCTGTTGGTGCGGTGCCTGCCGCGCTGTGTACCTCTGTCGCGCGCGTTGCGCAGTGCGTCACGGGTAGCTGTGTCGCTATAGCATTGCGTATCGCGCTATTACGATACTTGTCGTGTTACGCGTCGCGTTGCGTCTTGCGTTGCGTCTTGCGTCCTATGGGCGCATGTCGCGCGGCGCGTCTAGTTTTGCGTTGCCCAGATGCCCCTGCCAGCCTGCACCTACCGTAGCGGATCTGCAGACTGCCGGCACGATACGGGATCTCCTCGATCAACGCGTATATCTCCATGCCGGTCTCTGAATTCAAAACTTCGGGAAAAAATCAACCCGCTTACTATGATCCTCTCCCGTAAACGCGCAGCTCCCGGCGCGCCCCATCCGCCACGGGTTGTGGCTGATCGGGCACAGGTGTTCCAACTGAAAAAGGTTGGAAAATGCGCAAATAATCCCTGCTAGCCTGCCCCTCCATTCCTCAAAGAATCTCTGCTAGCCTGCCCCTCCATTCCTCAAAAAATCTCTGCTAGCCTGCCCCGCTCCATTCCTCAAAAAATCTCTGCTAGCCTACCCCTCCATTCCTCAAAGAATCTCTGCTAGCCTGCCCCTCCATTCCTCAAAGAATCTCTGCTAGCCTGCCCCTCCATTCCTCAAAAAATCTCTGCTAGCCTGCCCCGCTCCATTCCTCAAAAAATCTCTGCTAGCCTACCCCTCCATTCCTCAAAGAATCTCTGCTAGCCTGCCCCTCCATTCCTCAAAAAAGAATCTCTGCTAGCCTGCCCCTCCATTCCTCAAAGAATCTCTGCTAGCCTGCCCCTCCATTCCTCAAAGAATCTCGGCTACCCTGCCCCCTCCATTCCTCAAAGAATCTCTGCTAGCCTGTCCCTCCATTCCTCAAAGAATCTCTGCTAGCCTGCCCCTCCATTCCTCAAAGAATCTCTGCTAGCCTGCCCCTCCATTCCTCAAAGAATCTCTGCTAGCCTGTCCCTCCATTCCTCAAAGAATCTCTGCTAGCCTGCCCCCCATTCCTCAAAGAATCTCTGCTAGCCTGCCCCTCCATTCCTTAAAGAATCTCTGCTAGCCTGCCGCTCCATTCCTCAAAGAACCTCTGCTAGCCTGCCCCTCCATTCCTCAAAGAATCTCTGCTAGCCTGCCCCTCCATTCCTCAAAGAATCTCTGCTAGCCTGCCCCTCCATTCCTCAAAGAATCTCTGCTAGCCTGCCCCTCCATTCCTTAAAGAATCTCTGCTAGCCTGCCCCCTCCATTCCTCAAAGAATCTCTGCTAGCCTGCCCCTCCATTCCTCAAAGAATCTCTGCTAGCCTGCCCCTCCATTCCTCAAAGAATCTCTGCTAGCCTGCCCCTCCATTCCTCAAAAGAATCTCTACTAGCCTGCCCCTCCATTCCTCAAAGAATCTCTGCTAGCCTGCCCCCATTCCTCAAAAGAATCTCTGCTAGCCTGCCCCTCCATTCCTTAAAGAATCTCTGCTAGCCTGCCCCTCCATTCCTCAAAGAATCTCTGCTAGCCTGCCCCTCCATTCCTCAAAGAATCTCTGCTAGCCTGCCCCTCCATTCCTCAAAGAATCTCTGCTAGCCTGCCCCTCCATTCCTCAAAGAATCTCTGCTAGCCTGCCCCTCCATTCCTCAAAGAATCTCTGCTAGCCTGCCCCTCCATTCCTCAAAGAATCTCTGCTAGCCTACCCCTCCATTCCTCAAAGAATCTCTGCTAGCCTACCCCCTCCATTCCTCAAAGAATCTCTGCTAGCCTACCCCTCCATTCCTCAAAGAATCTCTGCTAGACTGCCTGGCCCTCAAATTCCGCAGTTCTCTACTTTTTGGTACTTGTCTATTAACGGGGGGCGCGCTAGGCTATTTATATTTTTGTGAAAAAATACCAGTGCCTGAATAAAAAATCTGGAAACCTTTTGAAACGGTGAAAATTTGGGTCTGGTGCGTTATCGGGGGGGCTACCATTCCGCAAAGAACCTCTGCTAGCGCTTCTCTTGTCGCTTTTCCCCATTTAAAACGCGTAATCATTTATCATCTTTCATCGAACAACAACAACAACAATAACAACAGCAATAATAACGAGCCAAAAGCGTAACAACATTTCCAACAAGTAACAATCATTTTTGAGAGCGAGAGAGAGAGCCGTATCAAATGTTAACAACAATAAAGATGAATAGATGAAAAATACAAAAATAAAACGATCCAAAGAGACAACAATTTCCGGAAATTCCTCAAGTAGACTTGGCCGACTGGTTGAGCTGGCGCATGGCGACGAGGTACTGTAGCCCGTACTTGTTCTGCTCGGCCCTGGAAATCGAAGGAATTATATGGGTTTCTCATCCCAAATGATCTCTGCTAGCCTGCCCCCTCCCCCTCTCTCTCATCCCAAATGATCTCTGCTAGCCTGCCCCCTCCCCTCTCTCTCTCATCCCAAATGATCTCTGCTAGCCTGCCCCTCACCCTCTCTCTCATCCCAAATGATCTCTGCTAGCCTGCCCCCTCCCCTCTCTCTCATCCCAAATGATCTCTGCTAGCCTGCCCCTCCCCTCTCTCTCTCTCATCCCAAATGATCTCTGCTAGCCTGCCCCTACCCCCTCTCTCTCATCCCAAATGATCTCTGCTAGCCTGCCCCCTCCCCCTCTCTCTCATCCCAAATGATCTCTGCTAGCTTGCCCTCCCCTCTCTCTCATCCCAAATGATCTCTGCTAGCCTGCCCCTCCCCCTCTCTCTCATCCCAGCATCCCCGTTACCCTGCGTAAATGTAAATATCTTTCGAGTCGAAAACTATTAACAAAAACTTTTAAAAACTTTCGTATGCCGACGTTTTCATCGAAGAATCGAGATTTTTTGAATTTTTGATCAAATTGGTACCCTTAGGAATAGTAAAAAAAGCAGGTTATAAATCTTCTATTCATATAAAAAATTAATTCTAAAGAATATACACTAATATTAAATATAACTTCATACAATGCCATTCTAAAAAAGCCAAAATTATTTTTGCGTTTTCTCCCGGCCGATTAAGCCTAGACAAAAATAGCAGACCCCAAAAATTCGTGAAACTCACATGCTCCTGATGAGTTGCGTGTGGTGCTGGATGAACTGCTGGAGGCCGGTGAGCAGCGCCGCGTCGCCGCGTCCCTTCAGCTGGCCGCCGTGCACCTTTAGGACGGCCTGGATCCATTTCTAAAAGGCAAAAAAATTTAATATGACAATATAAAAATTTAATTCGTGAAAATCCCATAAAAAATCGATAACTCGTAAATTGTAACGAAAAAACTGTGCTTACCATATAAAAGTGGACATGCGGCGAGCTGTAGGCCACCTCGCCGTCGGCGATCCATTTCAGCAACCGTTCGGCGTACAGCAGCGGAATCGTCTGGCAGACCAGCTCGACTAAAAAGAAGAATCCATTTTTGGGCTCTTTGGCATTAACGGGGGACCTAATTTTTTTTCCTAAAAATCAAGAATTGCCCAGTAAAATAATAGTAACTGTTTTAATAGTGTCTTAATCCATTTTAACTACACTTAAAGTGGAAAAACTATCTAAAAAACCTAGAAAACCCTTGAAATTTGCTCGAAAAATCGATATTTTTGTATTTTTTTTGCTACAAATTTGCCAAGCTTTTGCTTAGGAATCGTAAAAAATATTTTAGAAAAAACTCTATTTATACTGGAAAAATAGGATCGACAGGGAAAAATTCCCGCCCCCGATAATGCAAAAGCCCCAAAAATCACGTACTCTGGCCGACGGGCGTCGCCTCGAGGCACTGCGTCACCAGCGTGTTCTCGTTCAGCTTCAGCGCCGCCATCAGGGCCGTCGAGTACTCGTTGAGGGAGAGGTGCCTGGAAAAGGGAAAATTAAAATAAAGTCGTGAATAAGCTATATTTTACGCCCGGAAAAAGATTACTTTTGAACGGTGGCCGGGCTGGTGCTCGAGTCGAGCTGGAACGGGTCGAACAGGGTGAGCATGTCCAGCGAGTACACCGCCACCCCCTCCGTCGAGCACACCGAGAAGCGACGGCCTGGAAAATAGAGAAATTAGCCTTCAAAAGTCCTTTAAAACGCAGAAAAAATTCTAAAATTACGATTCCTCAAAGTTCCCTGTTAGTCTGCTTTTTATACATTTTTTGAACTTTATAAATCGGTTACGCAAAAAAAAACATATTTAGTCGTAAACCAAAAGGGCTAAATTTCGAATTCCTCAAAGATCTCTGCTAGCCTGCCTTTATTACATTTTTTGAACTTTTAAAACCAATTCAAACACTCCAAAACCAAAATTCAATAGATTTTCCAAGAACAGGAAACTTCTACAACGTCCGAAATTTGAATTTTCAGAGTTGGAAAAATTCCCAAAAAATCTTTGCTAGCTGACTTTGACGAAAAAGGGTTTCATCGAATCTCGAGATCGACCTGGCTTCAAAAGCACAAAAGCTCGAGCCGCTAGTCTCTCCCAAAAGACCTCTGCCAGCTTGCCCTGCCAACAAATAGTCGAATTTCCTGCGCCCATTTTAACTTCCTGACGGCTTTAAAACCCCGATTCTTAATTCCAATTTATATTTTCGGAGTCGGGCTTGCTGGTAGCTGACCTTGACGAAAAGGGTTTCAATCGAATCTCGAGATCCATTTTGACCTCAGAAGCGCAATGAAACGGCTGATTTCCCACGAAAAAATTTTTTATACTTTTGCAGCTCCTTCCCAATCCTAAAAATTTCCAGCCGTTCCCAAAAGGTCTCTGCTAGCTTGCCTATCAAAAACCCGATTTTTAAACACCATTTCGAGCGATTAAACAAACAAATAGCAACAAAACAATTAAAATAACCAACCAGTCGGGCAGAACGACAGGTTGTGGACGGCAATCTGCGGCTTGGCCGAGCGTTCGCCCTTATCCGAGTGGACCGTGCCGGGCAGCTTGAGTTGTTTCTAGAAATAAAAATCATTGAAAGGGAGAAAAACCCTTGACCTTGGCTCGCCTGATCATCATCCGAATCGCTGTCGTCGCACAGCCGAATGTTGCCGAATTCCGAGAAATTGCGACTGCTGATGTCGGTCTGGAAAACAATTTGAATAGATTTTAAATTTATTTAAAAATTTCCTCAAAGAATCCCTGCTAGCCTGCCCTAGAAATTAAACGGATTCAGTCAAAAATTCCTTGAAATCTTGCTCTAGCCTATGTTCAAAAAGAACAGAAAATGAAAAGAAAACAAGAAAAAGACCAAAACGCTGAAAATAGTCGAAAAAGAGTGTTTCTTATGAAACTTTATTAAAGAAGAAAACTTCTATAAACACTAGTAATTTTGTAATTGTCCATGGAATTCAGCGGCATTCGGTTCAATGCTCTCAGCAGCCCGTCCCCTCGTCCCTCAAACCCTAAAAACCTCTGCAAAATGCCCACCAAAACTCCAACAAGACTTCGATTCAAGGTGAGGGTGAACTTGGGAGCAGCAGCCGTTCCGCTACAGAGGTACAGGCAGACGAAATTGACCCCGCCGCCGGCGAACAGTAGCGAACCGTCCGGGGAGGAGCAGATTGAGGTCAGCGATCGGGAAATTTATAAAAACGACATTAAAAATGGAATTAAAAAGAAAATTTTTAATTTTAGAATCTAAACTAAAAAACTAAACGTCGATTTTGAAAATATGAACCGGACAATTTTAAGGCCAGAAAACGTACTATCCTTCCTGAAGTGCTCTTCTTGATCGCGTCGAACTTGGAGCGACCGGCCTCAAAGACCAGACGGCCGTCGATCGACCCGGACGTGGTCCATGTCCTGAAATATCAGGAACATTAAATGTGTATTTAAAAAAATAGGCAAATAATACATTTTAAGCGTCAGACCATTCCAGAAAAAAAACCTGATTTTTTAATGCTGACGCACTTGCTTTAATGCGAGAACCCGCCCGAGTTCTTCCGGTTTTCAGAAACACGAATTTGTAAAATTTTTCAAAAAATGTAAACCCCAAAAAAAAGTCTGATTAGATTTTAATTAAGCGAGTTTCTAATAATTCAGGATATTGCTGAATAAAAAATCCAGAAAAAAGAATTCGAAAAATTGACACAAAAACTACAATAATAATAAATCATACACTACCAGCGGATTTTTGCGTTGCCGCACGGAATAAGCCAACTACAAATCAACAAAAAACTCGATTCAATTCCCCCCGTTAGACCGTTGAAACACAAAGTTGCAAAACAAAATGCACAACTGATTAACGCTGAATTCTGCCGGAACAAATTGGTTCTTTTCTCTTAGCGGGGGGGGGGCTTCCACGATAAAACTAATTACTTTCTAACGCCTCAAAACGCCTCTAACGCCTCGCCTTTTTTTCTTCTCTTCATTTCGTTTTGACCGAAACGAATAAAATTGGAATTAATAAATTCACAAAAATGGATAAAAAATAACAATTAAAACGGTCTAAAAAAGCCAGTCTTTGTCTTTTTTTGTTGTAAATACACTAAAAAATTTAGAAAAATAAAAACGAATACCGTCGAGTAGAAGCCAATTGTCGAGTCCATCGTCAGCACGGCGATCAGGCTGCCGCATGGGGAGAAGCGGATGGCCACGCACTCGCACACGAGTCCGTGTGGTCGACCGTCTGCGACTCCGTCACGTTCCACAGCCTGGAAATTAGATTAAACCAGGGTTGAAAAGCCGCCAGACTTTTCAGCCCTGGCTTCGTCGATCCGATGATATTCTTCACTTTGCATAATTCTCACGATTTTCGATGGCAAAAAATCAGAAACGCTGCCTCTCTTCCCTTATCGCCTTACCGCCTAAGCTACCGCAACTTCCGGCGTATCTAATGGTTTCCTAACAAAGAGGGTAGCCCATTTTTCAACAAAAACTTAATTTTAACGTCGAAAACAGCTCATTTTTGCAAATTTTATTGGTGTGCAGTCATCCCCAGGCCATTACGCATCTAATGACGTATCAAACATGCGCTTAACTACTTTTTATATATAGTAGGATCAAATCAACATTAATTAATTAACTTTACGATTCCAAAAATTAAAATGTTTCGCATCTTGGAAGGATTCCGATTAATTTTGCCAAACTTAATATAGACGTATTTTGTGTGGGAAGTTTACTCTCTAAAATTTCTACAAATTTAACTTAACTTAATTTTATTTCTGAAATTGAGTTGAACTGAATTACTTTACGTTGAATTTTCTTTCGTTTATAAATGCTAACTTGATGTCGACCAAGAATTCACAAAAAATTCTAAATAATTTTTTAAATAATTTTAATCATTTAAAAGCGCAAAAAAGGCTTTTATTAATCTAATTATTTCTAAAGTCACTAAATTTTCTAATCGATTTGACTTTGTACAAAAATAAATAATGAAATTAACGTCTAAAAATTAAAAAATCACTTGAACGTCTTGTCGAGGGAGCCGGTGACGAGCTGGTTGCCGTGGAGGGAGATGGACGGCACGATGGAGCTGTGGCCGGCGAGGACGTCGAGCAGGCGGCCCGTCTCCAGACTCCACACGAATACCTGAAAAAAAAGTGGGATTAGAAGGCTGAAAAAAATCGGAATTCCCGAAAAACCTCTGCTAGTCTGCCCCCGTGCTCAAAAGCTCCTTGCTAGCATCATAGTCTTTACCGACAAGTGACCAGCGAATGAAAACAAACAGAAAGCCTGAATCGAGTATTTCGATGAAACATTTTTTCAAATCCAGACAAGAAAGAAATGATCGGAGGCCTAAAACGGCGATTTCCCTTCCCCAAGGATCTCTGCTAGCCTGCACCTTGGAAATTTCCGTTTCCCCAAAAATCGACGCTAGCCTACCACTAAATAACTGTCGTAGAGCAATTTTTTTAGATTTCCCAAGCCGTTCGGCCTAAATTCCCAAATATCCTGTGCTAGCTTGCCCCTTGGAAGTTTCCGGTTTCCCGAAAAATCCAGGCTAGCCTGTTACAAAATTACACTCATCCAGCGGATTTTTGGTTCAGCGGATCCAGCTGATTCTCTGCTAGCCTGCCCAAACCCCTAAAATCGCTCACACTGAACAGCTCCTTGGCGGCCGCGATCACGATGTCACCAGCGGCGTCGACGGCGAGCGCGCCGAGTTGCGTGGGTTCGGGGCAGACCAGCGTGCGGAAGTTGCGGTATCTAAAAAAGGATAAATTTTTCGTAAATGCAAGAAACAATAGCAAAAAATCCAAATAACGAAAAACCAAAAATAAAATAATATTTTATTATTTTGATATGTACCTCTTCAAGTCGTGGGCCCTGACGGTGCCGTCCAGCGAAGCTGAGAGTACGGCTTTTCCATTTTGGGTCCAGGCCACCGACGAGATGCCGGACGTGTGCTCGGTGAATGTGACGACGCAGAAGCTCGTCCGGGCTGACCAGACTTTTAGCTGAAAAAATGGGATTAAATATTGATTGAAAAAACTATATAATAAAAATAAATCACTACAATAGCAAAAAAAAAGGAAAATCCACATTTTGAAAAAAATGCTTCAATCTTGGCCGCGGTAAGGGTTTCTACGAGCTAAATAATTCAAGCATTGCCGAAATTTTACGCTTTCTGCTAGCTTTAGAATTCTTGAAAACTGCAAATTTGCCTCACCTTTCCATCCTCGCCGCCAGTCGCAATTTGCGCGCCGTCGGGGCTGAACTCGGCGGACAGGATGCGCTCCGAGTGGGACTGCTGCTTCAGCACGTACGTCTCGCTCTGTAGAGAAAGTTTTTTAATTCGATGCGTCTGTGAAATATCAATTGGGAAATTGGGAAAAAGTGTTTCTAAATTGTCTTTTACTATTCTAAGAGTAAAAATGTTACAATTTTGATTAAAGAATAAAAAAATCTATTTTTCGCCGAAGATGTCGTCAAAAAATTGCCGAATTTTTTGTAGTTTTTACACATAATAATGGTTAAATTGACAAAAACGCTATTAAAACACTTGAAGGTCCGTAAATTTAGGGAGTACCGTAATCGAAAAAACCGGAATTCCGTTCTTAGAAAAGGATTGTAGCCGAATCCAGCAAATTCGTCATTAGGAAAATAAGGTACCACAACCGAAAACAAACAATTTTTTTATATTACGTAACGCAGCAATCAACGAAAAAAACCACGAAATTCCGCCATTAGCAAAGCGCCGGATTCCGGTAAAATTTAAAACATCTAAATTCACCTGCCACTCCCAGACGACCAATTGTGCCGAGGTGCCCTTGCCGCAGCCGATGGCCAGCCAGTCGCCCGCCTTCGAGATGGCCAGCGAGGAGATGCGAATGTCGGAGACGCTGAAAAAAACACTGAATAAAAAAATGTTCCAAATTCTAGGCTGCCCGTCGAACGGGTAATTCAGTAATTTATTCCCGATAAAATTCGCCAGCTAGCAGAGGTTCTTCCGTAAAATTTATCTGCGCGGGGGCAAAACTAGAGGGCGAGCTAGCAGAGATTCTTGGGGAAATCCAGCTAATCGGGGATCAAGGCATAGGGCGAGCTAGCAGAGATCCTTTGGGAAAACCGAAGAACGGGGGGGCAAACTGGCAGAGATCTTTTGGGAAGCAGGGCAGAAACCAGGGCAAGCTAGCAGGGATTATTTAGGAAATTATTTAAATAAAGGAATTTTATTTTAGGATAGAGGTTATTTGGGAAATCTTGCTAATCCTGGCTCTGGCCAGAGGGCCGGCTAGCAGAGATTCTTTGGGAGTGCCGGTCGAACGTTCGGATCAGAAAAATGGGGCCCGCTAGCAAATATTCTTTGGAAAATGCCGGCGAGCTCCGAGGAAAGCCAACGGCAGGCTAGCAAAGATCCTTTGGGAAATTTTGAAAATCCAAAATCAGGGCATAGGGCGTGCTAGCAAAGGTTCTTTGGGAACGCCTACGAGATCGGGATCGATCCATCGGTTAGCTGTCAAGCGAGCAAAGAACTTTTGGGAAAACCCGAGGGCATCCTAGCAGAAACCATTTGAGGACCAAATTCCATTTTTTCCGGACAAAAACGTACCGTAAGTTATGAATCAGCGACAACGACGGGGCCTCGAGGAGGACGAAGACTCCATTGGCGAATCCGGCAACGAGCAGCCCGCTGTCGCGATGGAACGCCGCCGCCGTCACGTCCTCCATGCGGTCGAGGCCGGCCAGGTCGTGCAGTTGTGCCCTAAAAGGTAACTTTGACGAAAAACAAAAGGAATGATAACAATTTTTCGAGCACGAACAGATCGGAATTAAACCGCTTTTCATCCTTTTGTAGCACAAAAAATCAGGCAGCACATTTTTGCGAAGCCAAGCAGAATTTTGCACGGTAATTAATTAAAAATCAACAAAAAACGCCCAGAAAATTTCTAAATAACATTACTACAAAATTAATTCAGACAATCACCACGGTCTATTAATGCCTGTTCCCATGTTCCTAGGCTTAAGAAATTTGCAACACACTTTTTCAAGATCGTTTTGTGAAATTCTGTTTTTTTCATGTGTATTCTGATAAAAAAACAAAACCCCGACGAAAATACCCTTAAAAACCCTCTAATAAACAATTTTACAGCTTCAAAACAAGAGCTCACTTGTTCGTCTTCTCGTAGGCGAGCTCGAGCGGGCGGACCTCGTCCTCCTTGTCGAATTTGCCGTCGAGCAGGTCGCTGCCCTAGAAAATGGAAAAATAAAACATAAAAATCAAAACTCACCGCCAAGCTGCACCGCCACGCGTTCACCAGGCCGCGCTGATCGACGCTGACCAACTAAAACAAGAGGATTAAATTAATTTAAAACCTGGATGCTTTTCGAAGCTTCAACGAATTAGCCAAATAACGATTTTTTTTAACCACCCACATCATACGAATTCTTCTGAAAATCGGCGCACACGATGCGGCCTTTGTGGGCGGCAATGTTGAAGTTGGTAAAGTTTTTCGCGTCGACGCGCGGCGCGATTCTGATCATCTTGTCCTCACCACCAATGCAGAGGAGCCTGAAAAGCAGAAATTTAAATGCGCCGCAAAAATTTCGGATAGTCCCTAAGAATATTAAAGGGATGCCGACGGCATAATCAATCTGTTACGCGCTGGAAGAAAATGTCTCTCGCCTCTCCCTGGGCGCGCTCTCAGCCCTGTTGCATGAAGTTACAATACTACTGGCAAAAAAAATCCATTAGAACATTTGCTAGAACCTTAGCTTACTATGGAAAAATAGTTCAAAAATTGGGATTCCTCAAGAATCTCTGCTAGCCTACCCGACCCAAAAACCCGTGCTAGCCAGCCCCACGAACCTGGAGTCGCAGCTCCAGCTCACGGAGGTGAGCGTCTCCGGCGAGAGGTGAAGGAGACGAATGAGATGGAACGGGCGGAACATGTTGTTCACCATGCTGCCCATCTAAAAAAATATAAATCTATTAAAAGCAAAATAATACGAAAATTACCTGCTGAATCTGCAGCGTATTCTCGGGGGTGATGGCCAGGTAGCGGCCGCATGGCGAGAATTCGGCGATTTTTGCCAGCCTAGTCGCCTTGAACTGGTGGATGACGGCGGACGTCTCCAGGTTCACGTACAGGATCTCGCCGCCTAAAAAAATATGTAAGTTAAGTGTAAACAATTTACGCCAAAAATGACGTCGTATTGAAAAAAAGGTTTTCTAAACAGTTGGAAAAAATAGAGTTAATTCCAGTATCGAGAAATCGTTTTCACGTTTAATTTCAGTGTTTCATCCTCGGCCAAGCAGAAAAGCACCGTTCACAAGACAATGTCTTTTTGCTTAGATTGTAAAGTTTAAAATGAAATCTAAAGTTTCTAAAGTTAAGTATTCCCGGCGGATTTTTGACCTTACTTCGGTAAAAAAAACTATTTCACTTTCTGGAAACGTTTTAGCTAATGTCCGCATTGAAAACGAGACTTGAAAACGTAGGTAGAGTGTTTCATTTTCAGTCAAGCAGAATTACCATTTTTACAGGCAATTTCTCTTGCTTATACGCATTAATAAACGGGCAAATGTGTAAAAAATATATACTAAAAATTTTTATGGCATAAACCGATTTTTTAAGATATGAAAATAAAATATACCACTAAAAGTGTTAAAACGGAGTTTAAACTGGCTAGAAAAAGCTTCAATTAAGTTTCAGCCATGCTAAATAGTTTTCAATACCAAGTTAGTGTTTCATTTTTGCGCGGGCTACATGCCCCTTTTCTTGGCATAATAACATCAGATTGCTCCTCAAAAAAACTCTGATTGTAATAGCGATTCTAATACGTTCCAGCGATCAATCTGCATTGTACCGCCCCTCCTAACCCTCATTTTCATACGAAAACGAACTAAACCAACCACGAACTAATCAACGACGAAATAACAGAGTAAGCCACAAATATCTTTCCTAGATGATCGAAAAAAGCAGCTACCTAGATTGAAAATCCGCGTTTTGGCTTTTGGAAAACTAATTTCAATGTTCCATTTTTTCGCCAGCTAAAAGGAGCTTTTCCTGGCACAATCTGTCTGGATTTTCCCTTCTAAAAAACCGATTTGTCTAAAAACTTAAAAAGTCAAAAAGTTTAGGCTCAAATAGCTGATTCTCTGAATGATTGAGGTTAAGGAACGTCATTTTCAACACTTTAAACCTCATCTATACGTTAAAACTAAATTATTTCATTTCCAACGCACCCTCATCAATGACGACGAGATGCGTGCCCTCGGCGTTGAGCGTGATGTGCTGGATGGAGTGCTGGCATTTGAAGGCGATTGTGCGCGAGCAGTTGCTAAAAAGGAGATGCTACAAAATAAAGAATGAGGTATCTTTTTCAAGTCAAAAATCGAGATCTTGTTGCCGACGGGGCTGATCACCGAGTAGCCGTCCGGGGAGAAGAGCACGCGCCCGTTTCGGTAGACCGTGCCGATCAGGTTCGAGAACTAAAAAATATATAGTTTTAAAGGTGTTTTCTAAAGGAAAAACTAACACGAACTTCTGTATTTCCGCGAAAGTTGCCGTTCCCCGTATTTGGGGAATTTTTTTACTAGAAGACGAAATATGCCTGGCAAAGCACGTATTTTCATAGCTTTCTAGAAATTTAGCTGTATTTTAACTGAAATTGTGACCAACGTTATTAAGCTATCCAAGACTCAAATTTTGGACGCAAAAACGATTGTTTTAGATTAGCAACAACTAAAAAATTAGACAAACGCGTAAAACTTACAAATTTCGATCTAATAAAGCATAAGTAGCGTTTTTCATCATAACTGTCGTTTTAAAGCTTAGAATTAAGAAAAAGTCGTTTAGAAACGCTTCCAGTTTCTATATGAGAAAGACGGCTAAAAATTTTTCCGGAAATGTTAAAAAATAAAGATACTAACGAAATTAAGATTTCTGATAGTTTTCAATCATTGCTTAGTCTAGAGAAGGATAGTTTACATTCCTTTTAATCAAAAATAGGCTCTAAAACAACTAAAAACACCTTTTTAAAACATTTCTCACCTGAAAATTCGTGTCCATGCTTCTACGGGCATCAGCTGGTGGGCAGGGGTCGTTTTTCGAGCTTCTAAACATCAAAATATTACTTATCCGTCTTATTTCACCAAGAAAACATAGAAAAAGGTATCTAAAAAGTCTAAAAACTATAAAAACCTTGAAAAAAATCGTCAAAAACCCCCGAAATGAGCCCATGAAATTGGGCGGTGTAGTTCGTAGTCGCAGGGCGGCAGCCCAAAATTTGGGCAAAGAAACGAGGTTTTTAGCTTTAAAAATTGTTTTAAAACTTTGTGAACTTAAAAATATAACTTTTTAAGGTATAATGGAGGCGGCGGAAGCTGATGATTTTATGCCCGGCTCGACATCCCACGAGCCCGTGGAATTGACCGAGGAAGACCGCGAAAAGTTGGCGAAACAGGAGCCGGCCACCGATTTTAAGGTTTTGTTTTGTTACCATGACGATTTAGTGTATAGAAAAAGTATCTTTAAAGAAAGCAGAGCGCTCGAAAGGATTATATAACTTTTAAACGCTGTGAAATACGGTTTTGGGAGGTTTCTGGGGCAGGTTTGGACCGTTTATAAACACCTGATTCAATTCTCCTAGTGATAAAAAGTCAGCAAATTGGTTGGAACACACTTTTTGAACTTTGCATGATGTTATTGCAGTAATTTTCATTGAAAGATTACCTGTTTTTAGAATTAGAAAAGAAGAAGAGAAGCACGTAAAGCGTTTTGAAGAGTTTTCTGGGCTTTAGAACGTTTAATTAGGTTCCTGGGATGTTTTTCAATAGATTTCCGGCTTTTTCTTTCATTGGATTAAATTTTATTGACGCCGAAAAGTCTTGGTCCGCTAAAATAAGCCTAAAAGCTTCCAAAAAATTTCTAAGCGTCTAAATTCAATTTTTTGTTCCGAAACCGAACGCGGTGTAATAATTAATTTGTTCTGAAGAGGTAGATAACCTCGAAAAACTTTAAATTAGCGTTTCGGGAACTTCGTTCTGGTGATTTTAACTAACCCCTTGGGTGGAATTACATTTTCTGGGCCAACAAAAGTCAGCGAATTTTTTGGAACACATTTTCAAACTTCGTATACTCTTAAGCAGTAAAAATACTCAATTTAAATTCAGGGTTAGCCGCAGTTTTTCTTTTTATTTGTATATAAAGAAAAATTAGAGTTGCTGGATTTTCAGAGTTTTTAGAATTTCCGTTATCGCTTTGCGATCTTTTTTTGGCCGATTAGGGAGCTAACCGTCCTATTAAATTTGATGGGCTGCAAAAGTCAGCCAATTGATTGGAACACATATTTTAGAAGAAATCAATTTCTTCATCGTCTAAATAGATTTCCTTCAGAAACGCAAGCTGGAGGATCGAGGCGCAGGCGAGAATTGGGACCGCTTCTACCACCGGAACCAGGCCAACTTTTTTCAAGGACCGGAATTGGAGCCCCGGGGATATGGCCAGGCTTTGCGGCGAGTTGAATACAGAGGTAATGGAGATTTTATAGTTTAAAAATCGATTTAGAACCCAATTCTATCACCTAGAGGCCGGCTGCGGCGTGGGGAATATGCTGTTTCCGATCGCCGAGGCGTATTCGCACTGGAGATTTCAGGTAGATTAAGGAATATGGCTTTTTCTATACACAGCTGGAGTTTTTGAACTCGAAAAGCATTCTAATAACTTTATTTATTCTAACAACCTATTATTCCTTGAGCACGATTTTATACACTATAAAACCGGGGCTTTAAGCTCGTACGAGTACTTTAAGAGGTTTAATAGCGGTGTCATGCCTTTACTACGATTTTGGGCCATAAGTAAACCGAGCTTTCCGCGCGGGAAAACGGCTCAGTGCCTTTGAAAACCCTTCTAGTTCTCTAAAGCTCGAAGCGGGGATTTAAAAGTTTGACAACGTGTTATTACTTTTGTAACCTCCCAAAGGTAAGGTTTTTAGGCTCATCATTTTTAAGCGGATACCTATTAACGCTACGTATCCTTGCGCTTAGTGCTTAGGTTTTAACTTCTAAGGCGTCTTTCTTGCTTTTTAGGCATTTCAAAACTATTTTAAAAGCTGTTTAAAAGTTTAAAAGTGTAAAAGTTTTAAAAGTTAAAAGTTGGATAATTTTAACAACGTTTTTATACTTTTAGCAAGTTTAACACTATAAACCAGTTTTTCTAACTTCGCTAACAATACCTTTTAAACTATTTAAAAGTTTTTAACGTTGGGTGGTTTTGCGGATATTTTCACGGCGCATTGTTGAGTCGAATTAACTTTTAGGGAAACAAGAAACCAGCCAATCCACGGAAACACGTATCTTACACTGATAAGCGTTTTAGAGCACTTTTGAAGTTTTAAAGCGTATTTGAGTTCGGTTTTGGAGCGTTTTAAAATTAAAAAGAATTTTTGTTTTTTGTTCATTTCAAACGCTAAAACCTATTTTTAAGTTCTAAAATACACCATTTTAACTGAAAGCTCATTTACCTTTTCAGGCCTTCGACTTTTCGAAGAACGCCGTCAAGCTGCTCGAGGAGCGTGCGAAAGAGAAAATGGTAAGTTTTCGAGCTTTTTTGGCTATTGAAAAATTGTTTTCTTTAGATCCCAGTCGAGACGTCCGTCGTCGACCTATCCATCCCACTTCCGGAACCCCCATTTTTCCGCCCCGGCCGATGTGGCTTCCCTCATCTTTGTCATCTCGGCAATACACCCCGAAAAGCACCGGATTGTTGCGGAAAATTTGGCGAAATTGGTCAAGGTATTGGGGGCGGCTAGCAAAGGTTCTTTAGGAAATTTGGTGCTTTCGCGTTATCGGGGGGGTGGTTTTTCTGAGCAGTTTTTTTCTAGTATGCAAAAGAAATGCTTGCTAACTGTATTTTAATATTCCTAAACGTAAAACTAGTGCAAATTTTTGCTAAAAATACATAAATACAGATTTTCGAAAAATTAAACTTCCAATTTAGGGATTTTCTGTTCGAAGTACAGTTAGATTTTACCAAAAATGGGAACTAATAACTATTATTACTTACTACAAAACTTGGCATTTTTGATCGATAAAATACAAAAATATCGTTTTTTCGAGCACTTTTTGAATTTTTCGCTTTTTTAGAGCGTTTTCCGCTTGAAATATCATTAAATTTGGCTAAACCATACTTAAAACACTAGATATGGCGATATTATGTTTCTGAAAGTCTGGGAAATTATTCGCCGCTCTCCCCCGATAATACACAAGATCCGAAAATTAACTAATTTGTTTTAGCCCGGCGGCCTGCTCTTCATCCGCGACTACGGCGCCAACGACCACGCGATGGTGCGGTTTGGGCGCGGCGCGAAGTTGGACGAGCGCTTCTACGCGCGCCAGGACGGCACGAGAGCGTACTACTTTTTCACGGGTACGTCGATTAAACGATTGATTCTGTTTTTAAAATATTCAGGTGTTTGTGCATTATCGGGGGTTTCCTGTAGTCCAGAAATCCCCCACCAACTTGTAGTAAGTATTTTAATAGTGTTTTTAGTAAAACAGGTGTATTTAAGGTAGGCAAACCATCTAAAAACGTAGACATTTTTAAATTTTTGTCTGAAAATTGGCCATTTTTGGTGAAAAATCACATTTCTTGTATTTTCACGAAATTTTGTAACGTTTTGACGTTCAAGTATAACAAAAAGAGAGAGTTTCTTCCTCTATTTATATCAGAAAATTGGATCGTGGAAAATTTCCCCCCGATAATGCAGAAGAACCTATATCTGTAAAATTCAATCTATGACGTCTATTTTCACGATTTAGAAGAGCTCCAGGCGATTTTCTCCGGCTTATTCGAGTGCCAGAAGACGGAGTATCTGCATCGACGGTCGATCAATCACCAGAAGGGCGTCGACGTGCCCCGATCTTTTGTGCAGGGCTGCTTTCGGAGATTGTGATGTTGTTTCGGGTATCATTTTCACTGTGATAAAGAGTTCTATCAATTCTCGGTGCAAAATACGTCAAAAAATCTTTTTCTTGAATTTCCAAACGAAAAAACTACTTTGTTAAGATCTTTACTTAAGATCCAGCTTTTATATATAAATAAAGTTTTAATGCGTTTTAAGGAGTTTAAAAAAGAGAAAAATTGAATGAAAGATTTTACCTGATACATTTCGACGCTATTAATATTCTAACAGCGCATAATAGTGGAAGCCATTTCGCGAAACACATTTTTCGGGTCGAATTTTTCAAACTTTTCTGGTTCTTTCCTAGTATCGAGGGGGCTTTTTCCTGAGAATCCAATTTTTCTAATTTTCTAATGTAAAGGAGGTGATTGTAAGCTTTTTGCTTTTTGTACAATTTGCTAACGGAAAAACTTGATGAATTGCATTAAAAATACAAAAAAATAGACCTTCGATTCTCAACGCAAAGGGAGTTTCTTGTAGTATGTGGATCCCACTGTATTCATGAAAAACCCGGTAGGGTATAGGCTGAAAAATAAATTGTCTCTCCCCCGCTAGCAGTCTAGTACGCGCTGAAATAAAAACATGTTTGCAGTTCAATGCTAAACAAATTGTTTGTTTTTGTGTGTAATAACTTGAAATGTCGAATTTCGAAATTGAATCGATGTGGAGTTACGAGGTTTTTGTAATCCCAAAAAACGCGAAAAAAATTTGGAATTTTTGAATTTTAAATCGGCGTTCTTTCTGTCTTTTTCCCCACAAACCTACCGCCAGCCTGCCCTAATTTGCATACATTATTCGCATCCAGCTCTGCCCCAGGGCAAGACAGATCCCAAAATCAGCATTCGACGATGCTGTCCCTCGTCTGGTCGTCGCTGCTTCTCGTCCCGGTCCACTTGGCCTCTCTGCGCTAGGGAAATGTGAAGGGCTCCCCAAGAAATCAGCCGACGATGATCAGCAGGTTCGTCAAGTTTTTGGGGGGCAAACCCAGAGAAAGTTTGGGAGAGTGAGGGGGAGGGGGCAGGCTAGCAGAGACCATTTGGGATGAGAGAGAGGGGGGGGGGGTAGGCTAGCAGGAGACCATTTGGGATGAGAGAGGGGAGGGGGCAGG